AACATCAATGTGCGGTTGCTGGGGGCCGTGGCCTGCAACCCAGGAATGTGCCCTGACTGGGAATCGAACCTGCGATGCTTTGGGTCGCAGCCCATGCTCAATCCACTGAGCTACGCCAGCCAGGGCAGGGTTTTTTGTTTTTTTTTTTTAATTAATTTTTAAAGAAAGAGGAAGGGAGGCAGGGAAGGAGGGAAACAGAGAGAGACAGAGAGAGAGAGGGAGAGAGAGAGACATCAATGTGTTGTTCCACTTAATGCATTTGGTGGTTGATTCTTGTTTGTGCCCTGACTGGGGATCGAACCCACAACCTTGGCATATGAAGATGATGCTCGAACCAACTGAGCCACCTGGCCAGAGCAGAGATGTGAATTTTTAAAAATTGTGACAAACAGGCTCTTGTTCTCACGGGGAGCGGATCATTCTGGGTCTCGGTGTTTTTCTGAGAGCGGATTAGCGAGAGGCGCTTAAGTGCTCTGGGGACCTCAGGGCATCTCCCTCCCTGGTGGCTTGCGTGCCTGTCACCTGGTTCCCACGCTCTGCCCGCAGGCTCCAGCCCCAGGTGTGTTCCAGGCCGGAGGTCTGTGCCAGGCCTCTGCCCGCCGCCGGCAGAAGTGATTTCTGGACCCCAGGAACGCAGAGGTGCGCAGCCCGCAGCACGCTGCCCGGTGGGAGGTGGCCTCAGGTCAGGAACGGTCCCCCAGGCCTTCCTTGGCTCCCCGCCAGGCCCCGGGGGCGCAGACCCCTGTGTCTCCAGGACGTGCTCGTGTTGATTTGAGGGGACAGCGGCCGGCCGGGAAGAGGTGAACGCTCTCTTTTCTTCCGCCTCTGTTTTCTCTTCTCCGTTCTTCTCTGGGACCTTTCTTTCCCCTTCTCTCCTCTGCTTTCCTTTCTCTCCTTTTTGATTTGTGGCTCCGCTTACTGATGCCTTCACCGGCTGATTCTTGCACGCGTCCAACCAGGGACTGACCTGCAACCTTGGCGTGCCGGGATGACGCACCAGCCAGCCGGGCTGCCCGGCTGGGGCGCTCTCTGCTCTTCTTGCCAGCACACCTGTGCTCCCCTGGAGCCATCTGGTGACTCGGGCGCAGGTGCATGGTTGGTGCAGGTGGGTCCCAGTGGTCATGGTGCATAGCTCTGTCCCCAGGGAAGTCACCTCTCTCCACTCAGGTAGAGAGAGCAAGGTGGGGATGGTTGGGGGGGGGCGCAAACCTCTCAAAGCCCACAGGTGTCGGGGGCGCACCCCGCACAGGGGTGAGGGGCGTTGGTGTCCAGGCTCGGCTGGCCGGCCGACCGCGAGGAGCTGCTACCGTGAGAGACATGGCGGGGAGGGTGGGGGAGACGGCGAGACTCGGTCCCGTTGACGTGTTTTGGCGCCCGTGGAGACGTGCTGGAGTCCTTGTGCCTCCAGTGCGCAGGCAGAGAAGTGAAAGCCCTGGGTGAGGCCTGTGGGTGCAGAGGGGCCTGGAGCGGAATGGGGACCCCAGCTCAGAGGATGCGGCGGGGGTGGGGGGGGCCCTGCTCGCCTGACCCTCGGGGCCTTGCCACGCCCTTGCCACGCCCTTCGCTGCCTTCCTGGGAGGCCGAAGGGATGCAGCCGGAAGGCCGTCCAGCTGTCCCAGCAGGTGGCCCGGATCCAGACTCCGCCTGGCCTGCCAGCTGGCCCCGGGGCCCTTCCTCTCAGCGCGGGCCAGGGCTCCCAGGCGCCAGTGTCCGGGACTCCGGGGAGGCTGCGGCCTCGGGTCGGCCTGCCGAGCACTGGCGTGCGTGCCCTGCAGGAGGGGAGCGCGGGCGTCGCCGTGTTCCTCCGTGTTTGCAGTACGTGTGCGTCATTTAAAACAAAGACGGAGGACAGTCCTGCTAGAAAACAAAGCCTAATTGTCCCCATGTTTACTGACTGCTTGGCTCCTTTCCCCCAGGTGCTTCCCCTGGCCGGGGTTTGCTCACCCGGCAGGTGGAGTAGCCAGGATGGGAGGGGCACTGCCCGGGGCGGGGGGGCCCGCCTGGTTCAGTCCTGGGCTCTCAGGCCAGCCCCCGGGAGGCTGCCTCGCAGGGGCATCTCCGCAGGTGTCCCATCCGGAGGGCAGGGTGGCTTTCAGCTGGCCAGGGGACACCGGTCAAAGCGGGGCACCCTGTACGTCTGGACCCAGGGGTTTTCAGACTGCTCTGGGAGCCCTTCATTCTTTAGGGTTCAAGGGCGGCAGGAGTGGGGTGAATGGCTTCACCCGCTGACCTTGGCCCTGTGTTTCCATATAAAGAAAAGGTCCCACCCTGGCTGGCATAGCTCAGTGGATTGAGCTCGGGCTGTGAACCAAAGCATCGCAGGTTTGATTCCCAGTCAGGGTACATGCCTGGGTTGCAGGCCATGGCCCCCAGCAACCGCACATTGATGTTTCTCTCTCTCTCTTTCTCCCTCCTTTCCCTCTCTAAAAATAAATAAATAAAATATTTACAAAAGAAAGAAAGAAAAGGTCCCTAGTTTTAGTTCTAGGGACATTGGGACCCTCTGGCCCAGTGACCGGCGGCTGTCGCCAGGTGCTCTGGTGGCCGTCTCAGGCCTTGGAGGCAGGAGACGCCGGGCTGCTTCCAGACTGCACCCGCATCCATCCATCCGGGGGCAGCCGGAACTCGCGCCCTGCGGTGGGTGTAGAGGTGGTGGCCCCCGCACGGGCGTGGGGGTGCAGGGGCGCCGCCACCCCAACAGGTGGCTGCCTGCTTCCCCTTTGGCTGTCGAGCCGGATGCAGTTAGCCGGGCGAGTCCGGCGGGTGTTGTCACAGCTCGGGCGCTGTGGGCCGGCGCGGGCTGCGGCCCAGCACGCTGCGTGGCTGGCGGGTGAGGTGCGTGCTTCTCAGAAGGCGGGCCCTCGGGACCGCTCCACGGGTCGGGAGCCTGGAAGAGCGCTCTCCCCGTGGGAGACTTTGCGCCCACTGCCCCGGACAGGTTTGGTTTCCCCAGAACGTGTTTTGAGAAATTAGAGCAGAAACACGCGGAAGAAGAGAGACCAGCGCTGCGGACCCCCAGCTGGCCGCCGGTTCTCACCCCCCTGGCCACGTCACACCTCTGTCCGTGGACCCCCCCACCTCTGTCCATCCAAGTCCCCACCCCCAGTGATTCTGCAGCCCATCTCAGACGCGATAAAAAATAAAATCGCACTGGTAACTATTTCGGTGCGTATCGCCAAAAGGTAGCGCCCACAGCCTGCTGATAAACACAGTGCAGAAGGACGCCCCAAACCATGTAACGGCCGCCAGCCTTCGTGCCTCGAGGTGACCGTTGCCTGGAGGAGTCCTCAGTGTGAGTGGAGCACCAGGGCGGACACATGAGGGAGGGACAGGAGGTGCGCCGGCCCGCCAGCCCGGATTCTGGGGTTCGGGGGGCAGGGGGGTTAAGGAGCATGAATGTTAAGGGCACAACCCTTAGGGCTCACAAAGCAGTGGGTTTCTTTCTGTGACAGCTTCGTCGGAGTGTAATTCTCGTCCATAGAGTCCCCCCATCGAGAGTGGCCGAGGCGGTCACAGGTCCATGCGGCCGTCGCCACGGCTGGTTTTGGAAAACAGTGTTGTCACCCCACAAAGAAGCCCTTCCCTCCTGAGCCATCCCCTCCCGGTGACGATCCCCTCCAGCCCCAGGTGACCCCTGCGGTGCCCCCTGTCCCCGCAGACTGGCCTGTTCTGGGCGTTTCAAGGACATGGAATCGCATGTGGCGTGGCCTTCCGTGTGTGGCTTCCCTCACGGAGGAGAATGCTTTCTGGGCTCACCCGTGCTGGAGCGTGTGTCACAGCTTCGTGCCTGTCTGTGGCCGAGCGGAAACGACAGTATTTGCTGGACGCACAAATGAGCGAGAGCTGGGCGCCTTCCCAGGGCCTGCCCGGGGCGCCGTGCGCGCTGACCGGCTGCGGGTCAGGCCGGTTTGCCCTCTGTGTCCGGGTGTCTTTGGGACGAGTCTCCCCTCTGCCCCTGACAGGCTGCAGTCGATAAAAACAGGAAAAACCGAGTGTTACAAGAAAGCACAGACGTACAATTTTAGTTTTTTAAAATATATTTCTAAAGATGTTATTTATTTATTTTTAGAGAGGGAAGGGAGGCGGGAAAGAGAGAGAGGGAGAGAGAGAGAGAAACATCAATGTGGGGTTGCTGGGGGCTGTGGCCTGCAACCCAGGCATGTGCCCGGACTGGGAATCAAACCTGCGACACTTTGGTTCACAGCCTGCGCTCAATCCACTGAGCTACACCAGCCAGGGCTTAATTTTAGGTTTTTATGGCGGTTTCAGATCGGTTTATTCCTCCCTTAGCTGCCCTTCTAGCCACGTGGTGCTATGTGCAGACAGCCCGGGAGGAGACAAGAGGGTGCGCCTGCCCCCTCCAGAAGGTGGCCGGGGGGCCGGCGGGGGTGGGGGCACCTCGTGGGGGCCGCGTGTGCCTGGAAGGACGGGGGCGGGGGGAGGAGACAGGAGCCCAGATGACGGGAGACAGAGACCCTCCCGTGGATTCCGAAGCAGCGCAGAGGAAGCGTGCTCCCCTTTGCGGCGGCTGGCCCCGGCACTGTGCGTGGGGATGGGGGTGCGTGCTCCCCTGACGGCCGAGCCCCCCGAGCTGTGGGGTAGAGTTCGAGTTCCCTCCGGTCCTCCGCCGGCTCTGCCCGTCTGGTGGTGCCTAAAGCAGGTTTTCCAGAGGCCGAGGCGTTCCTCGTCGGCCTGTGTTCCCACCTGGAAAGAAGGGTTCAGGGCCACGGAGGACTCGTGTGTGGCCTCCAGGGGGCCGGGGGCTCCCGGACTCCTCGGATGACCCCAGGGCCTCTGAGCATGGGCAGCAGCTGTGTGTGTGCTGGGCGGGAGCGGGCGTGGGTGGGGCAGCCCCCGAGCCACGAAATCGGGCCCGTCCATGAAGCGTGTGAAATCCGTTCAGTGGGGGAGAACAGCTTAAATCCAGAACACATCACGCTTCCACAGACGGGTTTTTCTAACCTCTGGTGAGACGATCTCTCCTCTGCCGCCCTCCCCAGCAGATCGCCCAAGATGGCAGAAGCCCACCAAGCCGTGGCCTTCCAGTTCACGGTCACCCCGGACGGGATCGACCTGCGCCTGAGCCACGAGGCCCTGAAGCAAATCTACCTGTCTGGACTGCACTCCTGGAAGAAGAAGTTCATTCGATTCAAGGTGTGCAGACGCGGGGTTAAAACCTCTGCTGCATTCCCTGGGGCTCAGAGCGCCGCCCCCCCCCCCAGGGGGGCTTTCGGGGTGGTCAGAGGGGTAGCCGGCACGCGATCGGTGTTTTTGTGGTGCTGAGGGCTCATGGGGCACGCTCACGTGTGTGTCGGCTCCCCGAATTCCAAAGGGATTCCCGAAGGCTCGCGGGGCGCCCTGTTGGGCAGAGGAGGAAGTCGGGGCTCCGAGGGGCGGGGTGGGGGGGGTGGCCCGCTCTGCGGACACAACATGAGGGCGAGACCCCGCATCTCCTGCTCAGAGCCCAGACCCTGCCCACCTTCCAGAAGCGGCGTGGTCTCCCGGCTGTGAGAATCCGCAGCGGGTCTGCTCAACAGGCATCTCGCCGGTAAAATATCGGAACTCGGGCACAGAGGCTCACAAATTCAAGGGCAGGTACCTTCACAGCCTCCATTCCGTTTACCCGGAAGAGAGGAAATGGGCCGTGTTTTGCCGTGTGTGATGTGCCCTTTTTTGCCCAACCTTTTGAGAGAAACGTAAGGATGCACATCGTACACGGGCAGTGCTGGTTCCGTTATCTATAAAAACGTTTTTCTTTTATTCATACCCATGCATTGGAAGTATAGCTCTAGAAAGCAATAATGGTGTCCACATGCAAATTAACACCCTGGAAGACGAGAATCAGTTTTATATGTAAATAAAAACAATGAGCTTAACATGGAAGATGTTTTTCCTGAAAGTTGGGACCAAAAACGTGGGCACAGTGTACACGGGAGTGCCTTATACTCAGCAACATAGGGTACTCACTGTTTTAAGCGCGTATCTTGTTTCTAATGTACTTTGTTTTTAAAGTTCAGGCGAGATCAAAGGGCAAGATCCAGTCAGAAGGGAATGCTGCCGCCCCCCCCCCCCCAGGGGGAGACGGTACAGGTGGAATTTTTAGCCTCGTCTTCCTTTTTAGAGGGACTCAGAAGGCCCAGGAGCTAGAGTAGGTGACAGCAGTGGCCTCAGAGGTGGGCCTGGCAGGGCAGGTGTCCTGGGGCTCAGCGGGGGGGTGGGGAGGTTGTGGGGTCCATCCCCCACCTGGCATCACAAATGGAGCAGGGCGCCCTCTACAGGCGGAGCGGAGGTTGCCCCCTGGCCTCGCCGAGGGCTCCTCCAAGTGGTGGGAAACAGGAACGGCAGCGGGGGAGGGGGCCATCATGGCAGCCCAGCGGTGATGTGGTTCCCGGTGTGGGGGCAGGACTGATACCCGGGAGAGTACAGGGTGTCCGATGAGGTGGGCCGCCCACAGCCAAGGGGTTTCTTAGAGGGCCCCGTGATCGCTCAGAGGAGGGGGCCGGGGGGGCTGTCAGAGCAGCTGTAGGGGGTGGGAACCTTCCTCCCTGCGTTTTAACTTAGCTTACCACCGCCCCCCCCCCCCATCTCTTCCCTCTCGACAGCGGTGGGAAAGCCGAGGGAAGTAACAAACAGTAGGCGCGCAGCTATCTGCCGAGACCTTCAGATAAAGCTCCCAGCGCCTTCTAGTTGCTGTGTTTGTTTTAGGGATTGTATCAGTTTATGCTCAGAGAGAGGGCAGCGGGGCGGGAAACGCTGGTCTCAGGCGCCCCCGCTGGGACCGGCCCACCCCCCAGGCCTGTGCCCTGACCCCGGGGACCACGCCAGGGACCGGTCACTTTGCCTGTGGGATGACACCTCGCCCCCTGAGCCGCCCGGGTCGGGCGCTTCGGGAGTCTGTTTGTCCGTTGGTCAAATCACTCTCACGAATGGCTTCCGCAACACCTGGTTGTACTTGGAAGTTTTGAAACATACAGAAAAGTCGGAGGCCCCGCCCCACCTCCCAGTTTCCAGCCCCGTTACAGTGTTGCCAATGTTGCTTCGTTCTCCTCCAGCCCCCTTCCTGCTCCTCTGGGGGGGTTTCTGTGGGGCGTGGGAGGGTTTGGCTGAAGACTTCACAGCACGTTTTCGACGTGGACTGAGGACCCCTGTATATACTGCAGGGTTAAGTGGCTTCTTGGCTCAGCAGGGAGGGGTTGGTTTTGGAGAGGGGTCTCAGCCTTGCAGGCGTAGCAGATTGGGGAGAGGCCTTCCTGGCTGGCTCAGTGACGGCCTCCACCCACGGGTGTCATTCACTGGTCTGGGTGGAGCTCGGGAATCTGTGTTCAACTGGCTTCTCGGTGATTCTCGTGTCCTGGGGTCACCTGGGGAAACTGAGGGAGAGCTCGTGGTGGGGAGGGGAGGAGCTCGGCGGCAGCTGGTGCGGCCGCGGGGGGGCGGCCCTGGGGGAGAGCGGCAGCAGGGCCGGCCCCACCGCCCGACGCCTCACGGCGGGTCTCCTTCCAGAACGGCATCATCACCGGCGTGTACCCAGCGAGCCCCTCCAGCTGGCTCATCGTGGTGGTGGGCGTGATGTCGACCATGTACGCCAAGATCGACCCCTCGCTGGGAATCATCGCCAAGATCAGCCGGACCCTTGAAAGAACGTGAGGACCCCCCTCCGCCCCTCGGGTCCTCGGGGGGTTACTTTTTGTGTCTCGGTGGCTGCTGCTTGTGTCTTTCTGAGTGGCGCGACTGTCGCTGTTCTGGGCTCAGAACATGGGGGGGGGCACGTTTGCTGCTGTTCTTCTGTCTGTACGCCTCCCCACCCCCCCCCGAGGCTGGACTGCTGTTCCGACTCCCACTGCCCCTGACCGATCCCGGCCCGTTCCCAGAGGAGGGATGGTCCCTATGTCCTTAAGCCACCACCGGGCTTTGTTTCTCAGGCCAGGAGCGGCGTGTGGGCCCGGAGTCCTATAATACAGGGACGAGACACACAGCCCATGGGTACCCCTGGCTCCAGGGCCAGGTCTGTGGGGTCTGGCCTGAGCTGCAGAAAGGAGCTCGGATGCTCTGCCTAGATTTATTTTATCTTATTTTTTAAAATTATTTACTTTATTTTTTGAGAGGGAATGGAGGGCGGAGAGAGAGAAATATCAATGTGTGGTTGCTGGGGGTCATGGCCTGCAATCCAGGCATGTGCCTGACTGGGAATCGAACCTGCGACACTTTGGTTCGCAGCCCGAGCTCCATCCACTGAGCTACGCCAGCCAGGGCTCTGATTTTAAATATCAGTCTTTCGGCAGCCCTGGGGCTCAAGGGCAGTTGAGTCACCCACAGGGCCAGGAGGCCTTGGGAACGCTGGCTCGTGCCTTTATAAGCATCCGGGGCCCCGAATGAAGACGCCCTGTCATTTTGGGGGGAGCGGGCCCGCATCGGATGTCTGCCCGATTCCCTGGCCTGCCGGGGGGTGGGGTGGCCCGGGCAGGCACCTGGGCACCCTCGGCACTCTCCTCCCTCCGGTCCCCAGTCCCCCCGGGGCACCGGCCCACCCCCGGCACACAGCTCGGCCCGAACACCGTGCTGTTTCACCTGCTTCTCAGACTGGCCTGGGCCTGACCCAGATTTTTAATTCACTCTCGACTGTGGGCCGCCTCTTAACACTGGATTATACCTGGGGGTGGCGCTATTTAAAGCCCCGGTAATCTGGATCTCTATAAGATTTGTTTCTTTGTTCCTCCAACCCCGTGGTGGAAACTGGGCCATCAGGTCCCAGATTGGGAAAGACTTGGTTAGGGGCCATGCTAGAGTGCTCTGTGGGTTTTGTGAATCGGGTGAGCACGGGTGTCTTTTTTCCTTCCGTGACGTGGCACTTCGACGTCTGACACGGAGATCATCTCAGAGCCAGGTTCTCACACCCCTACCCCCCAGGTTTGCTCGTGGATGAGACTGTGGAAAAAGAACGTATAGGTGTCAAGTAGAGACCACAGTTCAACTTGAACGCAAGGTTTGACGGGTTCTGGAAAGATAGGTTGCTTGTTTTTTAAAGAGTTTAGTTATTTATTTTTAGAGAGATGGGAAGGGAAAGAGAAAGAGGGAGAGAAACACCCATGTGTGGTTGCCTCTTGTGCACCCCCCACTGGGGACCTGGCCCACAACCCAGGCGTGTGCTCTGACTGGGAATCGAACCGGCAACCCTTTGGTTCGCAGGCCAGTGCTCAATCCATAGAGCCATACCAACCAGGGCTAGAAAGATCTGTTTTGAAGCTATGCATTTGACCTGGAAAAAGTGTCCCTATGCCACTTTATTATAAAACGTCAAATTGGCGGTTCCCAAATACTGGCGACGCCTTCACGTTGCACATGGGTGGTTTCAGTAATTTGAGGCACACTTCGTTTTTGTTTTGTAAATATCTTGCCCTTCTCCAAACAACGGAAACTAAAAGCAAAACCACGAAGACATGTGAACGGCCACGTTTCTCCTCAAGTCCCATCCTTGTCGTGAAATAGATCACGTTCCAGCCCTGGCTGGCGTAGCTCAGGGGACTGAATGCGGGCTGTGAACCAAAGCATCGCAGGTTCGATTCTCAGCCACGGCCCCCAGCAACCGCACATTGATGTTTCTCTCTCTCTCTATCTCTCTCTCTCTCTCTCTCTCTCTCTCTCTCTCTCTCTCTCTCTCTCTCTCTGTCTCTCTCTCCCCCCTCTCTGAAAATAAATAAATAAAATCTTTAAAAAAAATAGATCATGTTCCCCCGCCAGTGAAAACGGATCATCCTCATCATCTAAAGGATCGTTCTACACGATCAGTTTCTCTGTGTGCGCGTGGTCAATGTTCCTGCCTCCACCCACACCAAGCTCGCGTGCTGCGAATAGTTGAGGTGATCGTTTGGCCCAGGGGTCTGGGTCCTGTGTCAGCAACGATGACACCCAGAGGGACGTCTGAGACACAGGATGGGGGTAGCATGGGGACGGCTGGGCGTCCTCGTCCCTGGGGGCAGGCCGCAGCCTGCAGCATCACCTCTGTCATCATCCCGAGACCCCGAAGGCCGTCGTGCATTTCCCCTGTGACACGAACTGGCCTCGGCTCGTTTTGAGGGTCATGGACAGGGCTGGTTCACGCCGAGGCCAGAAGCAGACTGCCCGAGGCTCCACAGTGGGGCCAAGGCACGAGTCCCCTCTGGTCAGGCCCGACTCTGGCTCCTGACCCCGGGGCTGCCGTGTCCTCAGCGTCCTCAGGAGCCCGCGGTGGCCTCAGTGGCGTGTGGCGCTTGGCAGAGCCGGCCCCCGAAGCCTCCCCTGCCGCTCACGCGCTCCCCGCTTGTCTCGTTGCCGCGCAGGGGCTGCATGTCCAGCCAGACGAAGCAGGTGGTCAGCGGCGTGCTGTTCGGCACGGGCCTGTGGGTGGCCCTGATCTTCACCATGCGCTATTCCCTGAAGGTGCTGCTGTCCTACCACGGCTGGATGTTCGCCGAGTACGGCAAGATGAGCCGCGCCACCAAAGTGTGGATGGTAACCAAGCCCGCGGGCTGCGCGCCAGCGACCCCCCCCCCCAGAAGCCCCCGTTCTGTTCGCTGTCAGTGACTCGGACGGTTGCAGACCCCGCAGACCCGCAAGATGGTGCTGTTTGTCCTTCTGGGTCGGGCCCGTGTCCCTCAGCCTAGGGTCTCGTGGGGACCCTCACCGGACCTGTTCTTCCTTTGACCCCTGGTGACTCGGGGGCCGACCTCTGCTTGCTGGAGGGGATGGGTTCACCATAGCTCAGAAGTTTGGGCCAAAGAATATTTTTCCTTCTTTTTTTTTTAAACGTGATTTTTAAAAAAGACTTTACTTACTTATTTTAGAGAAGGGGAAGGGAGGGAGATAGAGAGGGAGAGAAACATCAACGTGTGGTTGCCTCTAGCACACCCCCTACTGGGGACCTGGCCTGCAACCCAGGCATGTGTCCTGACTGGGAATCGAACCGGCGATGCTTTGGTTCGCAGGTCAGACCTCCAGCCGCTGAGCCACACCAGCCAGGGCCAGGATATTTTTCTTGAGTGACATTTGGGAGAGCCAAACATTGTACGTGACTGCCCACTAGATCAGTCCTCCGGGTCATCCACGAAGTAAAAGTGCCACCTGTTCGCTTCTTCATAGCTTTTCCTTTAAAAAATTTAAAAAACATGTTTTCAGTTGATTTTTTTCTTGAGACAGAGTAAGAAAGAGGCACCGATGTGCTGTTTTATTTATTTATACAGTTCACTGGTGGACCCTTAGATGTGCCCTGACCAGGGCTTGAACCCGCAACCTTGGCGTATCAGGAAGGTGCTCTAACCAGCTGAGCTGCCCAGCCAGTGTCTTTGTAGCTTTTCTAACTGGAAGTCAGGGTTCCCTGGTTTCCCCGCTGACCAGTCCGACCGGAACCCCTGAGAGTCACTCGTGTGCCGGTTTCAGCCGGTGCCAGCTCTGTCTGCCAGCTCTTCGGCACCCTCCCAGCCCCCTGGGGGCCCCGAACGGTGGAGGTCTGGGGGGCACCCCTGGGCGTGAGCCCACCGCACACCCCTGCCCGCTGGCCTTTCCCAGACCGACCTCCACTGGTGCTTAGATTGCGTGTTCCGGTTCCCAGGGAAGCAGAATGGGACACGCAGAACAGGTGCAGACAGGGGCGGTCTCCCCCGCCTTCCCAAAGAGGTGACACTCCCACAGGTGACACTCAGGGCAGACGTCCCGTTGGGTCCCAGCGCTCCTCATCATCAAGAATCACCCGCCACACACACCCACCTCACGAGCCCCAGAAATTCCTCTGAGGTCTGGTCGGCATGAGATGACCATTGTTGTACCAAGTTCAGAACATTGCAGCCGAAAGTAAGGGCCGATGGCGGGCAAATGTGCTGTCCACAGGGGCCACTGACGATGACCAAAGGGCCACACACTGCTTCTGGGGCTGGCTTGAGGTCCAGGCACCTTGGCTCAGAGCCTCGAGCCGATCCTGAAGCAAGAGCCCCGCAGAAGCAGGTGGGCGAGCCCACCCGGCCTGCAGGAGGGCAGTCGGACCGCCATGCCCAGGTGCCCGAGGAGACCCCTGGCCGGAGGGCCCGGCTCCTGGACCAGGTGGGGCACCTCGCAGCGTCTGTCAGACCCAGGCTTTCGTTCGGCCCGGTGGTTAGTTGGGGACACCTGCGTCTTTGCAAAGGCCTGCAAGGGGCGGGGGGGGCAGAAAGCGGACTGGAGGAAGAAGGAACCACCCCAGAAAACTGGCCGTTGGAGACCCTTGAGAACTAATTTCAGATTCTTAGCGTCGTCTCAATTTTTTTTAAGATTTTATTTATTTATTTTTAGAGAGGGAAGGGAGGGTGAAAGAGAGAGAGAGAAACATCAGTGTGCGGTTGCTAGGGGTCATGGCCTGCAACCCAGGCATGTGCCCTGACTGGGAATCAAACCTGCGACATTTTGGTTCACAGCCCGAGCTCAATCCACTGAGCTATGCCAGCCAGGGCTTCCATTTTTTTTATTTCTTTTTTTAAGATTTTATTTATTTATTTTTAGAGAGGGAAGGGAAGGAGAGAGAGAGAGACATCAATGTGTAGTTGCTGGGGGCCGTGGCCTGCAACCCAGGCATGTACCCTGGCTGGGAATCGAACCTGCGATTCCTGGTTCGCAGCCCGCGCTCAATCCACTGAACTACACCAGCCAGAGCTCGTCTCAACTTTTTTAATGTTCTTTTTTTTTTTTTTTTAGGCTATGGTCAAGATCTTTTCTGGCCGCAAACCCATGCTGTACAGCTTCCAGACATCTCTGCCGCGCCTGCCGGTCCCTGCCGTGAGGGACACAGTGACCAGGGTGGGTGCCGCTGCCCGCTCTCGGGGGTGGTGCCCCTGGGAAATGCCGGCCGGCCGGCCGTGGGATTGAGGCTTACGGCTTCAAGGCGGCTGTCAGTTCACTGGCCGCTGCTTGGGTGTGACCCCTGGGAGGCTGTTCTGGGAGGTCATTTCCCCAACCTATCAGCACGTCGTAGGCGCTTTGGTAAAAGGCGTCGCCTTCGATAGAGACGCCACTTGGCAAGTTTTTTAAACAGCTGCATCGAGATGTATCCCCCTCCATCCAAATTCACTCAGTGCTTTTGCTGGGTTCCTCCACTCATTGTTTAAACCGGGCTAATATATCCTTCACGTCCGAGGGACCATGTTAGCCACTTGAAAGGGGACAGCTCTGTGGCAGGATGTCCACTCCCAGTGCTGTGAAAACCCTGGACCTGGAGCCCGGGCCTTGGCCTGGTGGTGGCGTGATGGTCCCGGTCCCCCGCCAGCTTCCCCCTGTCATCGCTCATTGTAGTTGTCGCAGCCGAGGTGAGGACGGAGCCCTGGTCAGCGGCCCCACCAGGGCCACCCCTGCAGTGGCCTCGTTCACTGACCGGGGCCTTGTTCGCCTGGATGTCCCTCGGCTGATCCCCTGGCGGTGCAGGACCGGGGGAGTGCGCAGGCCCGTTAGGATGAAAGGTTTAATTGTTTAGTTATCAGTCCCTGGAGCATCTGTCTGTAGCGTGGGGCCAGCACGGCCAGCCCAGGGGAATACGTCACGTGTTTGGTCTTCTCCCTGTGGACGCCGCGGGCCCTGACCTGGCCTGCGTGCCTCTCGCTCGCCCCAACCCCAGTACCTGGAGTCGGTGAGGCCGCTCATGAAGGAAGCCGACTTCAGGCGGATGACGGCTCTTGCCGAAGACTTCGCCGTCAGCCTCGGGCCCAGGCTGCAGTGGTACCTGAAGCTGAAGTCCTGGTGGGCGACCAATTACGTAAGCACGTACACACGCACGGGTCTCCTCGGTGGGCTCTGGGCCAGTGCACAAGGCAGGCGTTTGCATGCGAACCCGGCGGCGGTGGCGGGGGCCGGGTTTTGGGGAGCAGCGGACGTGGAGGAGAGGCGCTACCTGGGACCCAGGCAAAACCAGCGGGGGCGCCAGGAGTGGGGCCCGGGCGCCAGCTGGGGTCGTATCCGTCATTAAGAAATGTGGGCAGTCGGCTGCCGATTACTCTTTCCACCCGGTCTTCTTTTTAACCAGCTGTGAAGTGCAGGCAGCCTCCCCGCCAGCTCTGCACCGCGACCTAAAAAAGCCCACTTCCCGCCCCCCCGTTGACCGCACTCTTCGCGCCCCCACGGGCCCCGGGTCTGCCTCGCTGAGCTCCCGTGTCTGCACCCACAGGTGAGCGACTGGTGGGAGGAGTACATCTACCTGCGGGGCCGGGGGCCGCTGATGGTGAACAGCAACTACTACGCGATGGTGAGTCTTCCTGCTGTGGCCCGGGCCCCTCCCCTCCCGCTCCCTCTGCCCAAGGCTTCTCGCCCACTGGGGAGCCCAGGACCTGCTGCCCACACCGGAGAGCTACAGGGCGGGCTCTGGTGCTGGCGAGGCAGCTCAAGGGCACCGTGCTCCTGCTGGGGAATTTGGGTCACAAACATGCCCCCGTGGCCAGCAGGCATTCCTCCCGAGAGGAGTGGGTGCCCCCGCCCATTTTCCTGACAGCGCTGGGTAAACACAGTGTCACAGTGTCGCCATGGCATGAAGGGCTCAGGGGCAGCGAATGGGCCAGTGTCGGCCAACAGCCGGCCCGCTGCTGAGCTTTGTCCCTTGCTCTGAGGCACCACAGAGTCACTCGTCTGGTCTGTTGAGACACCGGTGGCCTGGGGGTGGGGGGGGGCAGGTGTCATTATTTTGTTAGAAGCCTCTCAGTGTGGCTTCTAGGGTGTTGTTTAATGACTGGTGAGTCAAACTCGTTCTCTTTCCTGTGCTATTCTTTTTTTTTTTTTTTAAGATTTATTTATTTTTAGAGAGATGGGAAGGTGGGGGGAGAGAGAGAAGAGAAAAGTTGATGCGAGAGAGAAACGTTGATGGTGGCCTCTCACAGGGTCCCCGGCGCGGGACTGAACTTGCGGCCCAGGCCTGGGTCCTGACCGGGGAATCGAGTTGGACCTTTTGGTTGGTGGGGGGACGCCCCCCCCGCACCTGCTGAGCCGCACCAGCCAGGGCTCTTTTTCACGGACTTGAGAGAGTGAGAAAGAGAAATATCAGTTCATCGTTCCTTTTGGTTAGTGAGTGCGTTCATGGGTTGGTGCTTGCCTGCGCCTTGACCAGGGACGGAACCCTGCACCTTGGTGTTCGAGGATGTCGCCGAACCAATAGAGCCCCCTGGCCAGGACCCCCCCCCCCGGTTCTTTACCTCCTTTTATCTTTTCTCTCTGTTTCTCTTTATTGCTGTTCTTTCCCTCTGCTTTGCCTCCTTGTCAAATTTTTCTCTTCTTTTTCTTTTAGCTTTTTTGTAGAGGCAACCACACATTGACGTTTCTCTCGCTCTTTCTTCCTCCCTTCCCCTCTCTCTAAAAATAAATAAAATCTTTAAATATATATATGTATATATATATAGAAACACACACACTCACACTGTTACCTTTACTAGCCCAAAAATTACTTGGGGGTTTGTGTTCTTCTAAAACATAACAAAATAAAATTTGTGCCCTGACCGGGTAGTTCAGTGGGTTAGAGTGTTGTCCTGATACACCAAGGTTGCAGGTTCGATCCCTGGTCAGGGCACATGAAAGAACCAGCCAGTGAGTGTATCAGTAAGTGGAACAACAAATTGATGTTTCTCTCTCTTTCTCTGAAATCCATAAAATAAGGCGAAACTGGCAAAGTTCGGGAAGTGAAACGACAGTGGTTTTGCAGCAGCGCAGGGGTGACCCGGAGCCTGCGCGGCTGACTCAGCACGGCCGCCGCGTGCTCAGGCAGCCCGTGGGCCCCCGCGAGCTCTGTCCGCGCTGACCTGAGTCCCGTTGCAGGACCTGCTGTACGTGACGCCCACGCACATCCAGGCCGCCAGGGCGGGCAACGCCATCCACGCCATCCTGCTGTACAGACGCAAGCTGGACCGGGAGGAGCTCAAACCGGTGAGCACACGGACCCCCTTTCCAAGCCAGTTCTTCCGAAACCAGCTTCACGAGGGTCCAGTCGTGTCCCTGCGCAGCTGGCGAGTTCCCATGGAGACCTGACACTACACTTGGGGCGTGGACACGGCTGTTCCCTCCTTGTGCCTTCCCCCTGCCTCTGCGCCCTCGGCCGTCCCCGTCCCCTGTCCCTTGCTGCGCCCTCCCCACCCATCACCCACCAGGTGCCCCCCATCTGCCTTCTGTCCCCCTCGGCCACTGCTCATTTGTTTTTGTAACTGGTCTGATGCACTCACTTCTGTCACCTGCCTCTTGAAGGCACTCTGGTTGACTTGGAAGGACAGCAGTACAGTTGGTGACCCACTGGAGAGGGACAGGGCACTCCTTTTGTAAATGCAGCCCTCGGCCGAAGGGCTGGCCGACATGAGCCTGGTCAGAGTGCGTTCCTCAGGAGGCGACAGCGCGGGGGGCTGGGCCCTGGGAGGTCCAGCACGCCCCCTGGAAGCCCCCCCGCACCCCGGGGAGCAGCCGTTCCTTAAGGGTCCAGGGGCGGTTAAGCCAGGCCACGCCGTGGGCTCGGGACGCAAGCCCGGTGCCCCGTGTGTGGTGTTGGCGCCTGCCCCTCCTCTCTCCCCTGCGGAGTTTGTGTGTGTGAGACACCCTTTTGTATCCCAGATTCTTCTCCTGGGGTCCACCATCCCGCTCTGCTCCGCCCAGTGGGAGCGCATGTTCAACACGTCGCGGATCCCGGGCGAGGAAACGGGTGAGTCCCGGGGCGGGGGCGCTCCCTCCTCTCGCCGGCCGCGGGCGTCTCGGGCCGGGCCTGCGCCGCCGCCGCCTCCCCCCGGTGAGGTGCGTCCCCGGTGTCGCGTTCGTTTGGACGCGGGTATAGATGGGAACTTTTTCTTCATTTCTCTTTCTGAGAGTTCGTTACTAGTGCACAGGGACGCGCCTGGTGTTTGGGTCCTGCCGCTTCGTACGGAATGTGTTTATTAGTTGTAACAGTTTTGGGGTGGGGTGTTTCGGGGAGGGGTGTTCAGCCCGCGGGCCGCATGCAGCTCAGGGTGACTGTGGATGTGGCCCAACACAAAATCGTAAACGAAACCATCGTGAGACTTTTTTTGTGATGACGTGTCGCGATGTCTTGAACGCATGGCCGAAGACGACTCTTTCTTCCTTCAGGGCGGCCGGGAGCCGCCGGAAGGTTGGGCACCGCTGCTGAGGGTTTTCTGTGCGTGATAGCACGTCATCTGTACACAGGGACGGTTTTCCTCCTTCCGCTCCGATTGGGGCGCCCGCTCCTTTCTCCTGCCCAGTTGCTCTGGCTGGGACTTCTAGTGCCGCGTTGAGTAACAGCGGCAAGAATGAACCTCAGGGCAAGGCGGTGCACAGCCGACTTCCTCAGCAATGTGCCGCTGAGAGCTTTTCCTTTAAGACCAGGAACGAGACACGGTCTCTTCCAACTGCTCGTGGTCTGGGGGCCGTGACCACGGGGGTCCATGTCACAGATGAGAAAGTGGAGGCTCGGGGGTGGAAGCGGGTGGGCGTGAGGTTGAGTCGTGGGCCCAGGCCGACACACCTGGCTCCAGGGCTCTGGGCTCTGACGCCGTGCTCCACCCTCTGCAGACCGGAGCGGTGGACACGTGAGCACAGTGGGGGCGGGCGGGGTGAGGCGTGGGCGTGGCCGGCCAAGGCGTGGGCGTGGCCTGTCGAAGCATGGGCGTGGCCGGCCGAGGTGTGGGCGTGGCTGGCCGGCGGGCCCCTTTCTCGCCCCGCCTCTGACCTGCGCTGCGGTCCCGCATCTCGCCCCGCCCCCAGACACCATCCAGCACGTGAGGGACAGCAAGCACATCGTCGTGTTCCACAAGGGGCGCTACTTCAAGGTCTGGCTGTACCACGACGGCAGGCTGCTGCGGCCCCGGGAGATCGAGCAGCAGATGCAGCGGATTTTGGACGACCCGTCGGAGCCGCAGGCCGGGGAGGCGAAGCTGGCGGCCCTCACCGCGGGTGACAGGTGGGCGGCTCCTCCGCGAGGGGTGGCGAGTCTGGGCTGGGGGGGCACCCGGGGCTCTCTCCCGTCCCGGGGGCCCATCTGGGAGGAGGCATCTGGGGTGGGGGCACGCCCCACGGGCCAAGGGCACTGGTTGGTTCGGCTGTGTTTCAAGGGGGCGGGTCTCACCGCGGCTTCGGGTCACCTGGGCCGCCTGCGCATGCGGTTTCCGGGGCACGCGACAGAGAAGTCAGGAGTTGGGCTTCTGCACGGGCGGCCTCGTGTGGGATTTAGGCGACAGAACGCGTTTAAACCGAGGCCTATGCCTGCGCACTCCTGCCTCACCTGGGGGGTCACGCAGTGTGGGCCGGGGATGCAGCTGGCACAGGTGCTCAGGACAGGTGTCTTGGCCGCGGCTCTGAGATAGTGGGGGTCAGATCATTGTTCCGGGGTCCCTGTCCCGTGTGCTGGGGGGGGTGATGACGAGCACTGGAGGCCAGTGGCAGCCCCCTCGTTGGGACCAGCCACGCTGTGTTCAGACTTGGCCTGAAGCGTCACTGGGGGAGAGTGTCGTCCCCGTCAGAGCCCCTGAGGTACAGCCGTGTGGCGTTGCCACCCGGCGTTAGGACTGAGGTGGTGAGACCCTTCCGCAGAGACGAGGACGCTGCCCCAGGCGAGGGCACCCAGAGGCGGCAGGGAACTGCGGGGTGGGTCGGGAGGTGGGGACTTGAGGCAGGAGGGGTCCTGTGGGCCTGATGACATTCGAGCACGATCCTGTGATCAGGGCCGTTCAAGGGGCCCCTGCAGGCTGCAGTGACCCTAGCTGATCTACGGGACTGCTCTGGTCCCGGGGCCCCTGGACACGGGGGCCCGGTGTGGAAAGGACGGGATGCAGCCATGTGAGTGGGAAGGGAGGCCTGGCCAAGAAGCCGGGAGAGTTCAGCCACCCCTGGGGCACGGGCTCAGCCAGGAGGGGCAGTGGTGGGGGCATGTCCTGGGGAATAAGTCCACGTCCTGAGTGCTGGGTGTCAGCGGGGCCGTGGCCTGGGTGGAGGTGGTGTGGGGGCACCGGCCTCCGCTCCCTCCCTGGGACTCAGTGAGCGAGCGCCCAGCCCCGGTGCTGCCCGCGTGGGGCGCTGTCCATCTCAGCTGCCCGAGTCCATGGACCCCGTGTGCGTCTAGTCACACTGTCACCACTGTTGTCACCTGTTGTGGAGGGCAGCGGTCACAGCTGGGCCATGTTGGGACCTGTCGTGTTGATGGGCCTTTTGGCACCATGGGCACCACAGCCACACCCTTGAGGAGAGAAGAGGGCGGGAGACTGGCCGGATGACCGTGGACTGGAAGGGTGGGCAGGGGCACAGGACCCGGCGAGGCCCGAGTGACCGTCAGAGGAAGCCGGGGCTGGGACAGCTCCAGGCAGGCGGGTGTCGGGTCAGGTCCCCGTGGCCCACGTGAGATGGGACAGAAAAGAACCCCTTGAACTTGGCTGCCGGGTGTGGCATCCCTCATCACGGGACGTCCTGTGTCCCTTGTAGTGTGGCCTCGGGCAGGCTGGCATGGGTTTGAATCCCTCTCTGCCGGCGAGCAGCTGTGACCTCATCTCTATGCCTCAGTTTCCTCATCTGGAAGCTGGGCGTGGCAGCCTAGATGAGTGTGCTGGCCCTCGGGGCAGGGGTGTGGGGGCGGAGCTCGGAGCAGAGCCCAGCAGGGGAGAGGGCCCCCCCCCCCGCCCGGCTGTGACTTCCTCAGAACAGTCCCAGACAGGTCCTTTTCCTGAAGTCCCTAAAAGCCCGTGGCACCTAGGAAGAACGGTGTCCCTTCAAAACGTCACGTGCAAGGTGACGCCCCCCGACCGCCGCAGTCTGACCGCGTGCCCCTCCTCCCCCCAGGGTGCCCTGGGCCCGGTGCCGCCAGGCCCACTTCGCGAGCGGCAAGAACAAGCAGTCCCTGGACGCGGTGGAGAAGGCGGCGTTCTTCGTGACGCTGGATGACACGGAGCAGGGCTACAGGGCGGAGGACGCCGAGACGTCCCTGGACACCTACGCCAAGTCGCTGCTGCACGGCAGGTGTTCCGACAGGTACCGGCCTCGCCATGTGGGGGCCCGGGAGGGGCCTGACGTGCGGCTGACCTGCCTCCGGTGTCTGTCTGTCTCCCCCCCACACACACAGTCTGACGTCTGAGATTCTTCCCACCCCCATGCACGACCACATCCATTTGGGGGTGCTGGTGTGGCATGGGTGCAGGGGCCCCCGAGGGAGACCGGGGTGGGTGGGGCCTGGCCTGCACGGCCGTGCCGCATATGTCAGGTGGGATCCTGCCTGCCAGGCCGGGGGAGGTGGGGTGCAGGCACGTACAACCCCCCTTCTCTCCCAGCTGCCTTACTCGTTCCCATGCCGTGTCTGTCTGTCCTTCGGGCCCTCGTCTCTGTGTCTGGCGTCTGCTGTGTGCCTCCGTGGTCATGCCGGCGATTCCATCGCCCCTGGGACCTGCCCGGGGGCCGGGGGCGAAGTCTGCCGAGAGCCCATCCGGCAGGAAACGCGGTCACGGCGTTTGTCTGTTTTTCTCCCTGTAAACGCCGACGCCCCCCCCGACACGCCTGCTTCCCCGCAGGTGGTTCGACAAGTCCTTCACGTTCATCGTCTTCAAGAACGGGAAGATGGGCCTGAACGCGGAGCACTCCTGGGCGGACGCCCCCATCATGGGGCACCTCTGGGAGGTGAGTTCCCGCGGGCGTCCCCGGGCCGGGGAGGGGAGTGCGGCCCCAGGGCGAGCTCCGCTCCGGGGTGTCTGTCCGGCTCCGCGGTGAGCGTTTCCGGCGTGTGTGTCGGTGCTGCGCGTGTGCCGTGGAAACCCGGACCCGAGGCCTCGTGGCGTCCTCTCCCCCACGTCGGGTCCCTCGCCTGGCAACACGTGCGGTGCCACCTGCTGGTGGAGCGCAGAGCGGTGAACGGGCAGCGACGGCAGGGCAGACCCAAGCTCCGCCTGTTCCGAACGAAACCACCCTTTGCTGTGTCGGCTAGGTTCTCCTGCTCCGCCAGGTTGTAGGCCAGGTAAAGACAAGCATCTGAAAACCTTGGCTTATGAAAACACAGCAAGCCTTTTTATCACATGATTTCATTTTTTTTTTAAGGTTTCATTTACTTATTTTTAGAGAGAGGGGAAGGAAAGGAGGAAGAGAATCATCAGTGTGTGGTTGGCACTCACACGCCCCCTAGTGGGGACCTGGCCTGCAACCCAGGCATGGGCCCTGACTGGGAATCGAACCGGCGACCCTTTGGTTCACAGACCAGCACTCAATCCACTGAGCCACACCCACCAGGACTAGACACTTTTTTACAAGACTGTATCTGCCCATTTTTCCCTCTGGGGCTACACGGACTGTAGAGCGACCCTGTGTCCTGCCGCAGGGCCTTTGCGCCTGCTCTCCCTGCACAGAAGACTTCTGGCACCAGCCCCTATGTGACCCCACTTCTTCTCCGTGTCCCTGTCCCCGGCCGTCTCTCAAGACTCGGTCAGGAGCCCCTGTCACCCCTTCCTTGACTTCTCTTGACCATGTTAACCTCTGGTTGGAGTCCTGGCAGAACGTAACTGCCGTTCCCTCAGCGGGGGCGGTTTTCTGTACGGGAAAGGGGAAAACAGCGTGGCCAGTCTTTAAGACAGCGGCGTGGTCCCGAGACAGGCGCCCGCCGCAGCAGCCAAGTACCGAGGGTCCCTCGCCACCGCCAGGCTTTGCCGGCGCCAGCAGAGGCTTGGAGCTCCTCTGAGCTGGGAAGCCGCAAACATCAAACCGCCGGCCGTCTGGGCAGCACCAGAGGGCCCTGGACACCTTCCCCCCGGAGCACCACAGTCCATTCCAGGACGCGGGGCCACAGGGGCCTGGGAGCTGTTTCTGGCCCGGAGGGCGCTCCTGCCTGGCAGTGGGGAGGCCCCCGGAGAGTGAGGAGGTCAGGGGTATGTCCTAGGTGCCCCAGAGAAGTGGGCACAGGGACTTCGTCCTAGACCAGGGTGACCCATTGTAGGTGGTGATGTTGAACGGTCACAGCCCAGCTGACAGAATGACCTGCGGCTCCAGGGACCGTGCAGGGGCGAGGGGGGGTGGGCAGAGTCTCCTGGCAAGTGCAGGCTGAGCCGGGGCCCCGGGGGGTCGCGCCATGCCGGGTTGGAGGGGCCTGGGCGGCGATGGGTGACAGCAGAGACACGTCTGGTCCGAGTCGGGCTCTGTTCGCTCTCGGTGGGTTGCTGACGTTTAAACGTGCTGCTCTGGTGCCAAGCGGTGTGGACACGGCAGTGCCCCTTTGGGGCTCGGTCTGCGTGGCCCCTGCCTGCACGTGTGTGTGTGGGCCTCCTGTACCCCCCAGAGCCCCTCGCCATCTGACAGTGTCGCCGTCTGGCCTCAGGTGGATGGACGGTTTGCCTCCCTCATGGGTGGGGAGGCTCCCTGCACGCAGGGATTCTATTTTTTAAAATATTTTTTTGTTGGACTTACGGCCAAGACGGAGGCATAGGCAGATACACTGTGCCTCCTTGCACAACCAAAAGAAGGACAACCACAAATTTAAAAACAAAAAACAACCAGAACTGCCAGAAAATCGAACTGTACGGAAGTCTGACAACCGAGGAGTTAAAGAAGAAACACTCACCCAGCCCAGCAGGAGGGGCGGAGACGGGCAGCTGGGCCGAGAAGATGCACGGCGAGGTGGCGGCTGGCAAATTGGGTGGACCCACATTTGGGTGCAGATAAACCAGAAGGAACAACTGGGGAGTGAGACAGACCGCACAACCCAGGGTCGCAGCCCAGGGAAATAAAGCCTCAAACCTCTGATTGAAAACACCTGTGGGTGTTGAGGCAGCAGCAGGAGAAACTCCCAGCCTCACAGGAGAGTTCATTGGAGAGACCCACAGGATCCTGGAATGTACACAAACCCACCCACCCGGGAATCAGCACCAGAAGGGCCCACTTTGCTTGCAGATAGCAAAGGAAGTGACTGAAAACCGGCAGAGAGCAGAGCAAGTGCCACTGTTCCCTCTCAGACCCTCACCCACATAGAGCGTCACAAACCAGTGACTGGGCTGCCCCGCCCTGGTGACCACCTAAGGCTCCGCTCCTTGCTATGTAGCAGGTGCACTGAGACAACAACAAAAAAGGCCCAAAGGAAAGAACAGATCAAAGCTCCAGAAAAGACACAACTAAGTGATGAGGAGTTAGCCAACCTGTCAGATGAACAGTTCAAAACACTGGTGATCAGGATGCTCACAGAATTGGTTGAATATGGTCGCAAATTAGATGAAAAAGTGAAGGCTATGCTAAGTGAAATAAAGGAAAATGTACAGGGAACCAATAGTGATGGGAAGGAAACTGGGACTCAAATCAACAGTGTGGACCAGAAGGAAGAAATAAACAGTCAACCAGAACAGAAAGAAGAAACAAGAATTCAAAAAAATGAGGAGAGGCTTAGGAACCTCCAGGACAACTTTAAACGTTCCAGCGTCTTAATCATGGGAGTGCCAGAAGGCCAGAAGAGGAAGAGCAAAAAACTAAAAATTTATTTGAACAAATAATAAAGGAGAACGTCCCCAATCTGGCAAAGGAAATCTACTTCCAGGAAGTCCAGGAAGCTCGGAGAGTCCCAAAGAAGTCAGACCCAAGGAGGAACACACTGAGGCACATCATTACATTACATTACCAAGATGAAAGAGAAGGAGAGAATCTTAAAAGCAGCAAGAGGAAAACAAAGAGTTACCTACAAAGGAGTGCCCGTCAGCTGATTTCTCAGAAGAAAGCTTGCAGGCAAGAAGGAGCTGGAAAGGAGTATTCCAAGTCATGAAAGACAAGGGCCTACATCCCAGATTGCTCTATCCAGCAAAGCTGTCATTTAGAATGGGAGGGCAGATAAAGTGCTTCCCAGATAAGGTCAAGTGAAAGGAGTTCATCATCACCAAGCCCTTATTGTATGAAATGTTAAAGAGACTTATCTAAGAAAAAGAAGATAAAATATATGAACAGTAAAATGACAACCAGCTCACAGTTATTAACAACAAAACCTAAAAACAAAAACAAACTAAGCAAACAACTAGAACAGGAGCAGAACCACAGAAAGGGAGATCACACGGAGGGTTATCAGCAGGGGAGTGGGAGGGGGAGAGAAGGGGAAAGGTACAGGGAATGAGAAGCACAGGTGGCAGGCAGAAAACAGACAGGGGGAGGTGAGAATAGTGTAGGAAGTGGAGAAGCTGAAGAACTTGCACGTACGACCCGTGGACATGGACTAAAGGGGGAGAATCCAGGAGGGAGGGGGTGTGCAGGGCGGAAGGGAATAAAGGGGGGGACAATGGACAACTGTAACAGCATAGTCAATAAAGTGTATTTTAAAATATTTTTTAATTTTCATCGAGAGAATCCACAGACCGTAAAACTCCCCCTCTTGACAAGTACCGTGCGGTGGGTTCGTGCAGGCACCAGGCGGTCGTGCGGCCCCGGCACTAATTCCGGGACCCTTGGTGGCCCCCCAGACGGGCTGCACCCGCCCCCGCCCAGCCCCTGGCAGCTGTGCATGTCCCTTCTGTCTCTGCACCTGCCGATTCTGGCCGCTGCGTGGAGACGGAACCACATAGTACGTGGTGTTCTGTGCCTGGCCCCTCACCTGGCGCGTTGACTGTCAGGCCGCGTTGCCGCCCCGCCCCTCTTCAGGGCCGAATAGTATTCCTTTGCGTGGGCGGGCCACCCTTTACTCCTCCGTTCATCACCTGACGGACATCTGGGTCAGCTCCACTTCTGACCACAGTGAGCCCTGCCTCTGTGAACACTTGTGCACAGGGCTTACGTGAACATCCGTGTTGATTTGTCCCGAGTGTGAACCCAGGATTGGCCTCGCTGGGTCAGGGGGCCGTGTTTCGCTGGCCGAGGAAGGGCAGGAATCCTTGTCTGTGGTTCATTCACCCTGCGGTCTCAGTGCTCAGAAGGGCCGCTGTCCGCGGAAGGCGCTCAGCAAGGCCCCGTGGAATAAGCTGTGGGAAGAGGGTGTTCCCGGCCGCCCTGGAGTCCCGGCCGCAGGGGAGGGGCCGGCTGCAGGGGAGGGGCCGCTGGGACCGGCGGCTTCCCCTCACTCCCTGAGGCCTGGTGTCCGCAGGTGCGCCACAGACCTTTACAGTCTAGACGGGACTGTTTCACGGACGGCTCCCGGGGAACGCCCTCCCGCAGCCGGGGCCCAGAGGCGGCCCCGAGCGCCTCACACAGGGCGTGGCGTCAGATGCCCTCTTCCAAGGCCTGGCCTCGCAGCCCAGCCCCGCCGCGGCCCCTCCGGCCCTCTCTGCCAGCTCTCCAACGTGCGCGGAGAATGCTCGTGCCGGAGAACGTGGGTCCCGGCTGGGTCTCGTGCAGGGCCTCGGTGCCCCGCGGGCTGTGAGCAGGTCCCCGCAGCAGCCGCCCGGACGTCCTGCTTTGTGGCTGTGTCTGGCTGTGTCAAAGCAGACGACGGACGTGTCTGCTTTGTGGGGGACAGACACATCCCGGGTCGCACCGTGAGCTGGAAGGCCGCCTCTGACACCCCGTCTCTGTCTCCCCCCCGCCCCCCGACAGTACGTCATGTCCACAGACAGCTTCCAGCTGGGCTACCTGGAGGACGGCCACTGCAAAGGGGACGCCAACCCAAACATCCCACCCCCCACCCGGCTGCAGTGGGACATCCCGGAGGAGGTAAGTGTGGCTGGCCGCTCCGGGCCGGGGCCCGCGGGCAGGGCTCTTCCTCCTGGGCGCCCACCGCTGCTCAGCAGAAGCCCACGGAGGCTGGCGTTCGCCTCGCTGAGGGTTTTTTTTTTTAATTCACTTTTAGAGAGGGAAGGGAGGGAGACAGAGAGAGAGAGAGAAACATCAATGTGCGGTTGCTGGGGGCCATGGCCTGCAACCCAAGCATGTGCCCTGACTGGGAATCGAACCTGCGACACTTTGGTTCACAGCCCTCGCTCAATCCACTGAGCTACGCCAGCCAGGGCGCTGAGGGGTTTTTAGTAAAATCCTCCGCCGCCGGGGGCCGAGGCGTGGCTGCAGTTCCCGTCACCCTGGAAACCCCAGGAAGCATTTCTTCTTCCCTTGGAAGATCGTAGCAGAGGTCCTCAGGGAGATTTCCAGCTGAGACTCAGCGACACGTCACCGTGAAACAGGGAAAAGCAAGATCACCTCCTTTGGAGTTGAAACACTCTGAAGTCATGAATGGATGATGTTTGTTTCTCCTGAGGAGTCTCAGATGTAGTCCGTTCGGTGCCAGCCCCCAGCCTCGGGCAGGGAGTTGAGGGTGCACAGCGTCAGATCCTAGCCCGTCCGACCCAGGCAGGGACCTCTGGGGCCCGAGAAGCCGTGGTCCGTGTGGAGAGGGACGAGTCTGGCGCTTCGGCCTTGCCCAGCGGCGTCCCCGTTGCTGCCTGTTCTGGAACGTCTCGGGCCTGGGGGCTGCTCTCCCGCCGTTTCAGACGGGCTTTCTGTACTCAGTGATCTGTAGTTAAGGCTCCTCCTTTTTCCTTTACAAAAAAAAATCGATTTGAGAGAGAAAGAGAAAGAGGGAGACGTCAGTTTGTTGTTCCACTTATTTAGGCGTTGAACGGTTGATTCTTGTCTGTGCCCTGATGGGACGTTGAACCCGCAACCCTGGCGTGTCGGGGCGACACTCACCCCCTGAGCCACCACCTGGCCAGGGCTCGCCGTGTCATTTCACGGTGTGACGGCTCGTGGGCACTGCGTGGTTGGACCACGGTCCATTTTTTTTTTTTATTAACTGGTTCCTCGATCGCCGCTGTGGATTTCCCAAGACAGCCCTGGGGCCGTTGGGAGTGCCATGTGGGGTCCCACCGGGAGCCAGAGAGCCCGTGTCCCTCCTGAGTCCCACCTGTGTGTGGGGGCACCCCCCCGAGGCTCCTCGGCCGGGTGGGTGCCCTGTTGCTCGCACACCATGGCCCCTGGACGCCGTCGTCGGGCGCCAGCCGCACAACACCTCTAGGCCTTGGCCCTGTCAGCCGCCCTGAGAGCGAGTTTGCGTTTTCCTCTGGGGACGGGTCCGTGCCCCCCTGCCTCCCCCCCACCCACAAGGCAAACCTTTTTCTCCTCCCCCGCACAGTGCCAGGAGGTGATAGAGACGTCCCTGGCCAGCGCCAACCTTCTGGCCAACGACGTGGATTTCCACTCCTTTCCCTTCGACGCCTTCGGAAAGGGGCTGATCAAGAAATGCCGCACGAGCCCCGACGCCTTCGTGCAGCTGGCCCTGCAGCTGGCGCACTACAAGGTGAGCGCCCCGCCGGGCGGGCGGGACACAGGCCCAGGCGGCCTCCCCTGGCACCCCACAGCTGCACAGCCCCGTCAGGCCCTGACCCTGGCGGTGTCCCGTGTCACACAGGGCAGGGAGGATCCGGGCTGGGAGCGCAGGGCGGTCTCCCTGCTCTGGAAAGGGGAGACTCCAACTCCAAGGATGTGGTCAGGAGGAAGCACTGAGGGCAGATGACTGGACGTCTCTGACCTTGGACATGGACTGAATTTGCTCATCGTTATAGATGCAGAGAACCCTACGCAGCGCCAGCAGGTAGACCCTGCCAGGGCAGGGAAAACGCTACCAGCAGCGACCGCCGACGCCGGTGGCGGGCGGGAGGGTGGTGTGTCCCTCGGAAACCCGGTAACAGGTTGGGTCATGTGATCGGGTAGAAGAAGAAACCGTCGTGGCAGATGCTAAAAATGCCACACCTCCGTCCCCGGTAACTTGTACTCCCAGGACCCGTCTCCCTCACGTGACAAGTGCCATTGCGGGTCAGTAGCCAGCAGGGGGCGTTAGAGGTGAGGATGTAGGGGCGGCCCCGAGAAAGCAGGGGCAGGCTGCCTCCAGCAGCTCCGCCGCCCCGGGAGGTCTCCCCGGGAGCCCGGCCAGGACGGGTGACCGTGCAGGAGGAACATCCGTGCGTCCACGCGCAGAAAAGCTCTCAGGATGCGGGGTGGCTGGGAAAGGAGACCCAGGGTGGACTCACCACCCAGAGGCCCTGGAAGCGGGAAGGGGAGGGGGGTTGAAAACCCGACACCCCGGAGATGGACGGGTCTGCCCGGGTCACAGGCGTTCAGGGGTGTGGCGGCGGGTTTAGGAGAGGAGGTCAGTCGGTCGGCTGACCTCCGGGTCCCTCTGGGGCAGCGAACATGCGTGGAGGACCGGTGACACCCTGAGCAACACCGGTGATGAGGGGGAGGCGGGGCGGGGCGACGCCCAGACTTTCAGAGCCTAGAACCCGGACTGGGAGAGGACAGTCTCTGGCGCGGTGCGGCCGGTGTGGCTGGGACGGTTCCCTGCCTTAGTGTGCGGGGAAGGAGACGTTCACCTGGGGGGGGCGGAGGGGGGTGACGTGGGCAGTGATGGGGGTCGGACGGTTTGGCTGGAGGGTTTCAGCTGGGGGCGGGGCGTAAATAGCCCAATAGAACGATGGAGTTCGCGCAGAGTTGGGTGCTCGTTTCACAGGAGAAGAGCGTGCCCAACGGTTAGTGACGCACAATAAGTTCACCCTTCTTGGGAGCCCAGGGTGCGCAGCACCCGCAGTTCTACTGGGAGACGTGTCCCTCGTTCGGGGCAGGCCCCTGGAGCTGCTGTGTGTCCGGGCCCCTCAGGGAGAACTCGCAGCTGTCGGAAGGGGTGTTGGTGTGAGACTCGTTAGGTCGCGGCTCTCTCTGCAGGGGGTGCTGGGTAACGGGTAAATGTCGTCTGTGGTGTGTGTGCACCGTGAAGACACACACGGAGGCCCCCCCACGGCGGGGTGTGAGAGTCACTGGGTTGTCACAGGGACCGGCAAAGTCTGGCCACCGGCCACGCCCATCCCTTCCCCTGGTTTTGCCTGGCCCTTGAGCTGAGGATGGTTTTACATTTTTAATCACCGGAGAAAAAACCCAAAGAAGAGCAGTGCTTTGTTACTTGAGACAATCACACGGGTCTCTGGGGTCCCTCAGAGAACGCTGGATTGCAGCTGGCCCGTGGGGGCTGCATGATTTTCAGAGTCTCGAAAGGCGAGATGGGCGGGGAAGGCTGGTCTTGATTTTCTTCGGTTTTCCTGTTCTGATTTTTTTTTTTTTTGCACGAGCCCGTATATCACAGTTAGTCTTCAGGGGCTCAGGTTACTTATTAAAAGTTAACGCGCACCTGTTTTAGGAACCCAAGCACGTGCACCTGTTCTTTGCCTGCCAGCTGGAGGTCGTCGAGATTTCCTTCTGGGCCCCTCCCCTCGGGGAATTTTTCACACAGCACTCCGCCTGTGAAAAATGACCCATGTATTAGAGTGACCCATTGAAGATGTGAGTGAGATCCATCCATCCCGAACTTATTGACTTCAGAGGCAGAGGAAGGGAGAGGGAGGAAGAGAAACATCAACGATCAATCGGTTGCCTCCCATCCGCAGCCTTCGGGTTAGGGGCCGGTGCTCCAACCCCTGAGCTGCATCAGCCGGGCTATCCGGAACATCCCAGTGCGTGCTCCGCTGAGCGCCGGCTCCGTGGGGACAGGGCTCTCGGGGGAGCTGAGGCTCAGACCCGGCGTCCTGCCCAGCTGGGAGCCGTGGTGGGGCACAGATCCCGGCGTCCTGCCCGGCCCCGGGGTCCGAGCCGTGCTTCCGAACCTCTTCTGTTCCTGGACCCCCTGGGCAGCTTGGGGACCCCTTCCCAGAACAACGTTTATAAAGCGTACTAGGAGATACACCAGCTGACCTGGGCTAAGCAGGTCCTTAAAATGCAGATGTCAAAATAGCCCACATGGCTCAGTGGTGCAGTGAATCTAAGGAGGCGCCGAATTTCAAGGAGCCGGTCTGGTGACCACTATAACTTGGAAGCAGCGATAAGCGTAGGTGACATTTTGGGACGCGTGCAACCACCGTAATTGGGTGTGAAAATAGCTGTGATTTTCTATTCAGAGTCATAGACGCCGCTCCTAACTCCCGCGGTTTGTAACCGGTGCTTCTAGGGTGGTATCCCCGGCGGAGGTCAGTGGGAGTTAAAACGGTTACATTCTCCAAGTCCGCACATCCCGGAGGTTCGTGGTCGTCGGCCTGGTCCCTGGCCACCACCCCCCCCCCGCCCCCCGCCCCCCCCCGACACCACGGCGGGCCCCGTTCACTCCCCGCCTGCCACGCTGCCCCTCAAACAGGCGAGGCCCCTGCCCACCCTGGGGCCTTTGCACTCGCTCCCTCCGCGAGGCCTGCGTCCCTTCTGTTCGGTGCTAACCCTCACTGCCCGACACCCTGTCCAGCTCTCCCGCCAGGCCGTGCTCCTCGACGGCAGAGGCGTGTGCGGTCCTACTGGCCGCCGCGGGCCCGGTGCCGGGACCTCGCCAGCCCCGGCAGGAGGAGGAGGAGGAGACGCCCGTGGCCGCGTAGTTCACGGCTGACTGAACGAAGACACTGGGCAGGGGCCCTGGTCTCAGCCCGAGGTGGTTCGCTTCCTGCTCTCCGGCCGCATCTCCTTTCCCTGAGGAGACGCGGGGTGCCGAGGGCCCCCGGCCGGCCCCACCCCACCGGCCCCGGGCCGCGGAGGTGCGGCTGCTGCGCGCCAGGTCCGTGGCCTCACGCCTCGTGTGCTTGTGTCTGTGCAGACGCTGTCCCTCCGTCCCGCTCGCTGGACACCGGGGTGCTTCGGCGGCGCCAGGTGCCCGGTGGCAGCTGGCTGTGGCGGGTTGCCGGGGGCTGCAGGCGTCGGGGGCTTGGCTCCGTGAGGGTCCGAACACACTAACATTCTGCGCGTTTGCCCAGAGGTGGTCCGGCTGGCCTTTTTCAGCGGTGGGAATGGTGCATGATGGTGCTGGCCACTTACAGTATTCACGTGTGATGGGGGGGAAGCTACTTCAAGTAATTGACTGCATCTTGGGCCCCCAGTTAACCTTTATTAAATGACTAAAATGCCAGATTTACACTAAAATGCCTTTTGTCCTGCCCTCCGCCCTCCCCACTGCTTCATTCATAACAACCCCCTCCCCCCCAGTAAGGGCCCTGCAGGGAGCTCCCGAAAGGCATGTGGGGCCCCATCGGGGAATCTTAGTGGCGGGCGTGTCAGGCACGGGTGCTGTGAGTGGGTGTTCTCTGTTGGGGGCACGGGGAAGCCCTCAGTGGGGACCACCAGGGGCTGGGGTGCAGGTGCAGAGGGGCGCTAAGCCCCCCGCACACCGGCAGCCCCGGCAGCCTGCGGGGCTCTCGCTGGTCTGGACTGCAGACCGAGGGTGTTCCGCCGCGGCGGGGTCACCGGGGCCCGCGCCAGGCTGCACCCCAAAGAAAGCCCAGGTGCTATCCATCAGGAACGATCCAGGTCCCCGGCCGTGTTGGGAACCCGTTCCTCCCTGAGCCCCTGGTGGCCGCGGGCGCCCCCCTTCTCTCCTCCCCGGCCCGAGGCCCCCGTCCCTTACCTCGACCCTGCGGCCCCAAGCACAGCAGAGCCCCCCGGGGTTCAGACCAGCTCTTCTCCGGCTCCCAAGCAGCCGCCGAAAACCCCAAGCTCCTGGCTCATCTCCCTAGACTGACGAGCAGTGATTCTGGGGGCCCAGGCTGCCCCCCGCTGCGCCCCTAGATGCCCGGGTCACACCCCTCGTGGGACTCCCAGCACCTCCTCCCCTTCTTACTCAGCAGGTGACCTGATTCACCGAGAAAACTAGAGTGTCCCAAAGGGACCTCCCGCCTGCGCCCCATGGCCTCTGCCGGTCCCACGGCTGCTCCCTCCCCACCCCCTCCCCTCCCGTCCAGGGGGGGGGCCCTGCTATGAGGCAGTCCTGCTGCCCCCCTCCCGTGCAGCCACGGTCTCTCCAGCGGGTGTTCCCACGGCCCCCAAACGCGGTGGAGGGCCTGCTGCCGCCAGCACCCCCCCCTCGAGTGACTTCAGACTGCTGCACGCCGGCCTGCTTGCCACGTGTGCCGTCGGCACTCGGGTGGGGGGGGCGTGTGCAGGTGGGGGACCTGTGCCCCGGCACCCGCCGCCTCTGGGATGGAAACCTGGGTTGCCGGGGCGGCCCCCGGCCTTTGCCGCACTAACGCCGCCTCCGCCACCCGCTGCCCCGTAACCCCGAGTGGAGACGGGCGGCGACTAAACACGAAATGACGGCTGCGTGGGGTCTTACCCGCTCGCCCGACCCCCTCCCCGCGGGCCGTGCGTGAACGTGCCTTCTCCTCCGCAGGACATGGGCAAGTTCTGCCTCACCTACGAGGCTTCCATGACCCGGCTGTTTCGCGAGGGGAGGACGGAGACCGTGCGGTCCTGCACCTCGGAGTCCTGCAGCTTCGTGCTCGCCATGATGGACCCCCACCGGACGGTGAGCAGTGCGGCGGCTCCGCGCCCGGCCCCCCGGCCCCGTCCTCCGGCCTCCCCCGGAGGCGGGGGGGCGCTAAACTGTAGCCGTGGGGACCCGGGGACAGAGGGACACTCGTGCCCAGCCTCTGTCATTCCGTGACGCCTGCGGATCAGGCTGCACTCGCCGAGAGTCTTCAGATTAGGCCGGCGCGCAGGTGAGCGAGGCGCTGGAAACGGTTGGGGCCTCAGGCCGGTGCGAGCCGTGGGTGTCTCAGTGGCGAGAACCGGGGAGCCCTCCGCTCGGGGCGACTGCGGCCCGAGCAGGCGGACGCTCGGGCCCCACCCCGTGTGCTGCTGCCTGGGAACCTCAGGGCGGTCGCCCGTGGAGCGTCGTCGGGTCAGGTCCGTGGGTTGAGGGACAGAGACGCAGCCGAGCTCAGCCCAGGTGCGCCTGGCCAAGCACAGCTGCTGACGCCGATGCCCAGGGCCCTCCGCCCTGCTCTGCTCCGCCTGGGCGGGGGAGGCCCGGGTCTCCCTCCAGTGGGCGGGCGAAGCCCATGGGGACCTCCTGTGACCGGCCTGGCAGAGCCCAGGAGAGCCGCCTGCGAGGCCCAGCAGCGCTGGTTTGGGGGGTGGTCAGCAGGACCACCTTGGAGGGGTGGTTAGGACCCACCCACGGAAACACTGTAGATGCAACTTCACTTCCAGACAAGATACAGGGGCCCTCGCGCTCCCCCTGCCTGCCCGGCGTTACCTAAACACAAAGTCTGGCGTGAGAGGCCGCGAGCGTTCGCTCTGCACCACTAAAGAACAGCTGTAGGGGGAGCCCCAGGCAGGCAGAAGCCCCGATGGCGGCGTTTGGACGGGAGACCGAGGAGGCGGGGTGTTTGCGGGACGGGAGGGGGGGCGGTTCTGTCCCCCGAGGGAAGGTGTGTCTTCGGTGCCGTGAACGTGGTGACACTAGTTCTAAACGGGGCCCCCAAGGCTCCGTCCGGTGGGGCGGGCACAGTCCCTGCTTCCTTCCCGTCATCACAGGCATCCCCCCCCCAGGGGACACCGCGCGGCTCTGGGCTCAGCCCGGAGGCTGCCTGGCCTTGTCTGACCGTCCCCAAGGCTTGAAGCACGAGACACGCAAGGCGGTGCCCCCCCCGCTGCACCCCCCACGGCAGCTCTGGCTCTGTTTGCAAGGGGCCGAGTTTGTTACCGTTTTTACATGAGAGGTCTCATTTGGGTAAAAGATGTAATGCCGCCAGGTGGGCTGCCCATAGGACCCCCAAAGGGCTCCCCCAACAACTTGGGGGAGAGGCTGTCAGGTGGTCGGGCCGCTGGGCGGGGCCCCTTGGCAGTTTCTCCCAGACGCACCCCCCCCACCCCCCCAGTTGCCTGGTTTGCAGCCCCCCGTGGGCCCTGCAGAGAAGGGCCCGGGACCTTCACCTCGGAGCTCAGGTCTGCGCCCAACAGCCCGGAACTCCGCGCCCTTTGCCCCCCAGGTGGAGCAGAGGCTCAGGCTGTTCAAGATCGCCTGCGAGAAGCACCAGCACCTGTACCGCCTGGCGATGACCGGCGCTGGGATCGACCGCCACCTCTTCTGCCTCTACGTGGTGTCCAAGTACCTCGCCGTCGAGTCCCCCTTCCTGAAGGAGGTACGTCGTGTCTCCCCCCGCCGCAGCTCACACCGGCTCCCGGGCTGAACCAGAGCCCCCTGGGTCCTGGGGCGGCTTCACGGGCGGGGCCGGCGCGGCGAGCAGGCCTCGGGGCTCCGCCGGCCTCAGCGGGAAACGTGCGTCTTCAGCCCTGGAGTGCCCTGTGCTGCGACCCCCCCCACCCCCCCACCGGCCTCCTGCACACGAGGGGCCTCCAGAGCACAGACAACAGTAAAGTGCCCCGAAATAGGGGAGAAAGGACGTGCTCTGAGCATCTATCACCTTTGTCATTGAGAGCGTGTGTTCAATTGTATAAACTGTAATTTCTAGGAATGGCTGTGTTCAACAAGCAGCCGAAAGATTTCTGAAAACAGCCCCCACTGCGATCTTTTTTTTTTTAAATCCTTGCCCGAGGATATGTTTATTGATTTGAGAGAGAGAAACATAGATTGGTTGCCTCCTGCACACGCCCTGACCAGGGATCCAACCTGCCACCCAGGCATGTGCCCTGACGGGGAATCGAACCCACAACTTCTGGCGCCTTTTGGCGTACGGGAAGACGCGCCAACCAACTGGGCCCCCCAGCCAGGCCACCCCGATTTGTGAATCTTAATGTGTCCACCACCTTTTCTGCTAGAGACGCCTGTCGCTGGTGTTGGCCCTTCCAGCCCGCCGTCCCCACCTGCCCCGCGGCCTGTCTGCAGGTGCACTGGCCCCTCAGACAGTCGCAGACCGAGCCGGCCTGCTCTTGTCCCCCACCGGGGCCCCTCGGGGACGGAGGACGGGGCCGGGGCAGGTGTCGCTGGAGCGCTCCGTGTTTCACCTGCCAGGTCCTGTCCGAGCCATGGAGGCTGTCCACCAGCCAGACGCCGCAGCAGCAGGCGGAGCTGTTCGATTTGGAGAGGAACCCCGAGTACGTGTCCAGCGGAGGGGGCTTCGGGCCGGTGAGTGAACGAGCCTCTCTCGGGACAGAGCAGAGCGGCCAGTCCCGTGGCTTCCGGCCCATCCGCGCTCAGAGCCCTGGGAGGGAAAGGAACCCGGGCCGTTGTTAATACAGAGGGGTGTTTTTTTCCCCCCCCCACAAATAGTACTTTTTTTGTCATCATTAGAAGTCTGAATTTTTAAAAATTTTTCTAAAAATATTTTATTTATTTTTAGAGAGGGGAGAGAGAGACAGACAGACAGACATCAATGTGCAGTTGCTAGGGGCCATGGCCTGCAACCCAGGCATGTGCCCTGACTGGGAATCGAACCTGCGATGCTTTGGTTCGCAGCCTGCGCTCAATCCACTGAGCTACGCCAGCCAGGGCTAGAAGTCTAAATTTTGAACAGGTTCTTGGACTGGGGCTCCATCCCCCTCAGGACCAGTCCTGCCCCCGGCAGCCTTTGCAGACCTGCGACCTGCGCCTGAGCCCGTGGTGCTCCCAGTCACACCTGGGAGAACGTTCTAACGGAGCCGTCACGGGGCTGGTGGACGGGCCGGCCCCTTCTGTGTCTTTTCCGCTGCCGCCGCCCGGGATTGGTTCACACCCGTCCCCACACCTCCCAGACCGGCGGGCCTGGTGGCGAGCCGAGCCGAAGTGGTCTCCCCAGCCCGATCGCTGCCCCCTGTTGGTACCACGGACAAAGAGCAGACGGGCCATGTAACCAGCGGCAGGCAGTCTGGGCACCCATACGAGGCTCAGCCGCGGCCGCCGCTTCTGGCCACGGAGCCCATCGGGTCCCAGGTCTAACCCACGCCGTGGAAACGAGTCAGGCGGTCCGTGGCTGCAGCTCCTCAGTCGTTGGCTGGGGGTCCTCCGTGCACCCTCCCTGCCCTGCCAATCGGCAGGGCTCACTCGGAACCACGGCCCCGAGGCCGCCCGGGGCGTGTTCCGCCCCCTGAGCTCTGTGACTGGTGTTTTCCCCACGTTTCCCGCCTGGACAGAGCGGGCGCCTTCACACCGCCCTCGCCCCACCGTCCTTGGGACTCGGACCGACCACTTTCTCCCCGGCCCCCTCTGTGCTGCTGTCCGTGAGGCGCCTGTCCCCGCCGACCGCCCGCCGTGGTGCGGCTGAGAGGGCCGCAGGCCGTGGGAACAGGGTCGGCCGGGGGCCCGGGGTCAGGCCGTTGGAGAGCCCCCTCGGCCCTCGTCTCGCTTCTGGAGCGTAAGTGTCGCCTTTGCCGTGTCCTGCAGGTCGCTGACGACGGCTACGGCGTGTCGTACATTCTGGTGGGAGAAAACCTCATCAATTTCCACGTGTCCTCCAAGTTCTCCTGCCCAGAGACGGTGAGACACCAACACCCCCTGCCCTCCCCTCCTCGGAGGACAGGGTGTTCTTATCATTTCCTTTCTTAAAAACATTTTTTATTGATTGAATTTAGGGGTGGAGAGAGAGGGAGAGAAATAGCAATTTGTTATTCCACTTATTGATATATTCATTGATTGATTCTTGCATGTGCCCTGACCGGGGATCAAACCCACAACCTTGGTGTATCCGGACAATGCTCTAACCCACTGAGCTACCCAGCCAGGGCTATTGTTTTCTTTTTTCCTTTCCTTTTCTTTAAGAGTTTATTTATTTATTTTTAGAGAAAGGGGAAGAAAGGGAGAAAGATAGAGACATCAGTGTGTGGGACACTGTGTTTCTCACAGTGTGAGAGACATCTCATGTGCCCCATACTGGGGACCTGGCCCGCAACCCAGGCATGTGCCCTGACTGGGAATCGAACCCATGACCCTTTGGTTCACAGCCTGCTCTCAATCCACTGAGCCACACCAGCCAGGGCGTTGTTTTCTTTTTTAAGGGGAGCATATCCTTAACTTGACAAAATTTCAACTCGCTTATGGACTTGGACTTGGTTTGGAGCTTTACAAATTAAGGAATTTGGAAATTCTGTGAACCTCGTTTTTAAAGAAAGGGTCTCACCTGGTGGAACGTTTATGTTTGCTTGCAGCAGTGGTGGCGGGTCTCTGTGGGGGAGAGTTTGTGTTGCTTTCAGACCCTGTAACAGGGGAGAGGGGGAGAGGACTAGTGTGCACGTGCTGAGAAACACACACGCACACGCACGCACACACACACGCACACACGGCGGGGCCGCGTGCCCTCCCTCCGGGCGCGGCGCTGTTCGTCCTCGCGTGCGTCCTCTGGGTCCCACGTCGCACACCCGTCGCCCGACGAGCCACGCCGGGGTCGCTCACAGAGGAGACCGGAGTCCGTGCACGTCCTGTGCTTTGTGTGGAATTTGATGCCTGGACATCAAAAACGCCCCCCAGCCTGGTACCTCTGTGACCACCCTCCGCGTCTCTCCAGAACGGGCGACGTAGTAGGGGTTAAGGTGTGAGGTCCGGACTTAGAGCCGCCGCGAGGAAAGGACCGGCAGCTCCTTGTTTGAGTCAGGTCACGGGGGGAGGAGGCTGGACACGCGGGACTCGCCCGGCCGTGATGCCGTCTGTCTTCCCCGCCAGGACTCCCACCGCTTCGGCCTGCACCTGCGGCAGGCCATGGCTGACATCATCACGCTGTTCGGCTTCCACGCCAACTCCAGAAAGTAGCCCCCGCGTCGGCCGCCGGGAGGGGAAGGGAGCTCTCCGGACCGGAAACCAAACGACAAATCGTCCTTAATCCTGATCGTAGTCCAGGATGGAAAATTCCTCTAAAGAAACTCAGAAGTGTTCTTGCCGTCGAGGGTTTGGTGTTTTTTGTTTTTTTGTTTTTGTTTTTGTTTTCCCTGGAACAGCAGCCTCCACCACGTGAAGTAGCCCCCCCGCGCCTTTCAGGTGGGCCCCGGCTTGGGGGACGTTTGCGGGAGCGCCCCCGAAAGTCCTCGCATCCGCTCGTGTTTATCGAGGGACTAGAACGGCGCGGAGCTCGTTAAAGGAACCAGTGGGGTTGTGACCGCACGCGCGCTGGGGGTGGCCGCACCTCCCCGGGCGCGGCCCAGCGCCGGGTACTGAGGGGCATGTCGCTGTGTCCGACTGGTGCAAGCCCCTGTTCTGTCCCGAGAGCAGAGCGCCCTGCGAGCGAGTCGGAGACGGTAGCGGCTCGTCGCGGACACGCGTGTGACACGTGCTTTCGGGAAGAGCCTTCGCCCCCGGGCGCCCGCCCATCCGCCTCGGGAGCTGCCGTGTGCGCGTGTTTAGTGCCCCAGGCCTTGCGGGTGCCCCCCAGCCCAGTGCCTTACACACGGGAGGCCCTCGGCGTGAGGGAGGCCGGACGAGGGGGTTATTTTGTAAATAAGTAAATGCAATTGTGGGTGTCTCGCTCCTTCTCAGCTCACCGAGTGGGTCGCCCTAACTAGGTGTTTTCTGTGGCTCGCCCACCCCTAGAGAGCCCGGCTCCCCCTGGGGTCCGCTGTGTGGGTTCCCCCCTCACGCTGCCTCCCTTTCGAGAGTGGGCGTGCGTCAGAAACGGGGGGCGTTGGGTAGGGTGCTCAGACGTCGCACGTCTCGTGCAGTGCCTGCCCAGTGACACACACGGTGTGTGCCTCAGCAGTACCCGAGCTGGTGGCAAGCTGGCCGTGACCTTTGCTCCTGAGAAAGGAGCAAAACTTGAGAAAAGGGAAGAGGAACCTCCACATAAATGGTCGGGAGAGGGCAGTGCCGAGGCGCCAGGCTGAGAGCTTTCTAACCCCCGCTGGCCAGAGAGAGAGAAGACCCCCTCTGCTTCCAAAGGAGGTGGGGACACGGTGCACCGGGTCACCTTGGTGGCCGGCTGAAATGTCGCAGGTGATGAGTGCTGGCTTTAACACAGCCTACCCTTTCGACAGGAGTGCCTTATCAAAAAAAAAAAGGGGAGTGGCCAAAACTATGCACTGAATTGTCTTCGGTATTTCACGTAAAAAGAAAGGATCCTGAAATGAGTGACCCGCTGTCTCCGGGCAGTCCCGACAAGCTTGGCCGTCCCTTAAAGCAACTGTGTATTTATTTCTCTGACCACTTTGCCCTGGCTGGGCTCGCCCCCCCCGGGGGACCCCTGCCCCTGGGGGTCGCAGGACGGAGCCGCACCACCTGCGAGGAGCAGGAGCCGGCCCGGAGCTCACCACGTTTATTCACGTCTGTGTCGTAATGCAAAACCCCCACCCGATGGGCCAAAGATGTTTTCCTCTTAAGAGCAAGAAGTGAGAACAGGAGAAGAAAAAAAAACCCATAGTATGAAAGTCCCCGACTCATCTGGGGTACACAGTCCGGGGGGAGGTGTGGACGCCCCAGCCCCCTCCGCCTCGGGCAGCGGGGCTTCCGGTCAAAGCCCGTCGGCCCCCACAGCCACCTGAATCATGCACCACTGACCACTGACCAGTCTGTATCACCCAGCGTTCTTCAAACGTCCACGTGTTAGCACGCAGATCTATTTGGGCTTCTCTCTCAGGTTTTAAATATTTTTGCAAATCAGTGCCGTTGTCAATGCAATTTTTATATTCCTTAAAGGACAGGAGAGTGGATTTTTACTGTACATGTTGAAAAGGCAGAGGTGAGAGTCTTACGTGTTTAATTTAATTCGGAACGAACCGAGGTCTCGCCAGGGGCTGGGGTTTGAATCTGTCTGTCGTCTCGGACTGTGCGTCACGCTGCATGTAAATACAACCTGCTCTTTCGGATGTAAATCTTAGTGTTGCCACTGATAAAAAAAACATTAATCCCAGCCTACCGCAGCGTCTGTTTCTGTCTCTTTTGTTCTGTTAATGAGGAGGCTATCAGGCACTTGGGGCAAAGTCTGAGAGGCCAGGATGATGCAGAAGAGGCCTGGGGTGGGGCGTATGGCGCTGGGTCCGGGCGGGGCTGAGGAGGGCGGTTGGTTGCCGGGTGGGGCTGTGGGTCTTCCCTCTGCCTCCACTCCTTCGCCCGCTCCCTGTCCTGTGCCCAGAGCAGCGCCTGACGCAGAGCAGCTGCGCAGTAACCATCTGCCCGGTGGATGCACGAATTCCGTTTCCTCAGCAGTTCTTACTGACTGACCGCTGACTGCGCGGGGCACTGTTCTAGGCACCGGGAGGGTGGCGGGGGCCCCACCGGGTTCTGACTGGGTGGAGATCTCGTTTCCGTGGGAGGAGGTAGAGAGCCAGTCAAAGGGGTGTAAGCGCCCAGGGCAGATGGGGTGTCACGGTGTGTGGGTCAGGCTGGAGGAGGGGACAGGAGCAGGCTCAGGAAGGGGGGCTGATTTAGAAACAGGCCTGGCCGAGTCGGACCCAGCATGGCTGGAAGAGCAGCACGTGACCGGCTTGCTGTCCAGGTGGCGGAGCCTGCTGCATGTGATGCCTGACACCTGGGAGCTTGCTCGGTAGAGATGTCAGCTGTGTGAATGAATGAATGAATGAATGGGGTGATGTGCTTGCTCAGGCTATTCAAGCCACTCACATTTTTATGTGGGCTCTTGGGTTCGTCCTAGCGGCCTTCTAGGTCCCTGTAGTCTGGGGAGCCCACGCTGCACCCTGCCCTACCCTTGCACTCACCTGAGTTCAGTGTGAGGTGATGATTCCAGCCTTAACATGAGGGTAAAGCCATCCGCACACACCGGTATGCAAATCCCGGGAAAAGGGCTGACAAGACTTCATTCACGGCGATCCCGCCTGGCCAGGCAGCAGGCGGTGGACAGCGTGGTGTTCGAGGGCGTGTCAGCTTTATCTGGCATTTACATGTTCCAGCCGGAGGGCTTATGTTTACATAATATAACAAAGAGCTCTCCTAGCTTCCGCTGGAAGCCCCCACAGCCTTCCGTGGCGTCCTGCCCCGGGGAGGGCGGGCCCGGGAGGTGAGGTCTCCGAGCCGTGGGCTTCACGTCCGGTCCCGTTGGTGATGCACTGGCTGCTGGGAACCGGCTTCAGCTCACTCACGTGGCAGGGAAATTCCAACAAGGATCATGGGATGGCATTTCTTCGGAGCTCCGCTGGGGCGTCCCAGGCTGGGTTCTCAGATAAGCCCCAGCACAGCTCAGGTCGTCCCTTCGCGTTGGGAATCTCAGCCACAGACAATCTTCTCGGGGTTTCTTGATGCTGGCGTGTACCGCTAGGTAGTAGTGTACAGTGTCGCTGTCTTGGCTGTTTGAAAATTTTAAATAAAAAAAAAATGAAGTTGGGAAGTTGATGTTTCACATTTTAATTTTCGCCCAGTCCATATTATTAGCACATGAAACGGTCCCCGGGAGTTACAGCGAATCTGTCCTTGCCCCCCCGCCCCTGGGTCCCATCCCCAGAGCGCCTGTCAACGCCGCTGGGTGGACCCGGCACGGCAGGCCGCCGCCCTGCCCGAGCTTGCACGCCTTGCAGTGTTGACTCCTCTGTGAAGGGCGGGTTTACCTCGCTCCCCACCCAAAGAGTGCCTCCCATTAGGGCGAGTTTTGTCTGTTACTTCCAGGTCTTGTCAGACGCCACCCCCCAACACCAGTCGTCGACGATGGGTTGCTCAAACTTGACTAGGGACAGTCAGTCCCCAGTTTTTGGGGACTGGTCCCAAGCCCCAGCACCAAGGATGTGTGGTGTGTGCTCCTCCGCTGGGAAGACGCAGGCGCAAGGCCCTGGCCCTCTGTCCACTGGCGGAGCTCCCGCACTGGCTCCGCTGAGCGTGGGGGCAGAAAAGGTACCTTTGAAAGACTAAGGTCAGAAGTCAAGCTACCGAGTCCCACCAGCGCTGCGTTCAGGCAGGCCGGAGGGCCTCAGTGTGTCCGCACCTGAGCCTGGAGCTGCTGAGCCCAGGAGTGCCCTTCCCTGCCCACCTCCACGCGACAGCCGCTCCGGGTCCTCGTTGGCTCTCCGAGCGCCCCGCCCCTTCCGGGTGGGTGTCTGTGTCTCACTCCCTAACCTGGGCCTTCATCCCACTCCCTGGCCCCCCCCCCCCCCGCGCGCTCACTCCCACCCACCTGCCGGCCCCTCCCACCCACCGTCGGCCACGCCCGCCCGCCCTCCAAGCCCCGCCCACTGCCTCGTGCTTCCCCGGCCACGCCCACTTCTATTCCTGACTCCGCCCCTTCCTCAACCGTCAACGGCCACCTGCGCTCTCGAAACGCAACCCGAGGCTGTCCGTGCGTCCCTCTGAGGAGGCCTGTCTCGGGGTCCCTCCCGACCTGAGACCCCCAGCCGCCGTCGGGTGTCCCCAGGGCCCGGGCCGGCCTCCGATCTGCAGGTGGGGAGGGGGACAGAGGGCCCCTGCGCATGCCCCCCACCCCGGGGCGGCAGGGCCCCTCCCCCACAGGTCGGTGGGCCGCGGGGGTGGGGGCGGGGCGCGGCGCGGCACCCGCCTCACCGGGCCGCGTCGTTGCAGGTGCGCGGCCCGCGCTGGTCCCGCCCGGCCCGGGGCGCCGCCCGCCCGAGGCCCCGTCCGCGGACATGGAAGAGGGCGCCCTGCTCGGCGGCATGTCCAGCCCCGAAGAGGCGATGGTGCCAGACCTGTTCGGTGCGGACGGCGGGTTTGTGTCCGAGAACATGCCCCTGAAGGCCGCGGCGTTGGTCGGGGCCGAGGAGGAGGAGTTCCACGTGCTCAAAGACCCGTACCTGAGCGCCGCGGGCCCCAAGGGGCCCCTGCTGCACGCGTTCAACCCGCCGCTGAGCGTGGACTGCAAGACCAAGGCCAAAGCCGAGCTCCTGGTGGAGGACAGCGAGGAGGACATGCTTGGGGAGTTCCCGAGGCTCCCCGAGCTCGACCCCCTGGAGGACGCGGTGCTCCCCGCAGCGGTGCTCCCCGCAGCGCCGCCCCCGCAGCCCTACAACGTGCACTTCCTGTCCCCCATGCGGACCGCGCACGGGAGCCCCGCCATCGTGCCCCTGGGCGCCTGGGCGCGCGAAGGAGCCGCGCACGCCGGTGTCCGCGTCATTCCAGTAAGATCCGCGTGGGAAACAGGCACAGAACCCCCTGGAGCCCTCCCGAGTAGGGTCATGAGGCTGCGCTGGCTGCACCCCAGATTTCCTGTGTCAGTGGCAGCCCCCCTGGTTGGCGTCTCTCATTCCAAACAGGGGGTGCCCCTTTGTAGTCTGAGATGCGCCAGCCAGCCAGCCAGACATTCTCCCTGCCCGTGGATCCGGGCCTGAGTCCCTGGTTCAAACCCGGCCTAACCCTGCAGAGGGCAGGCAACCCCAGGGACAGGACGTGCGCGAGTGGGTTGACCTGGCGGCTGCTGTCCCTGGCTTCCGGAAAGGAGCCCTGAGTGTCAGTCACTGGGGTGCGTGACAACAGATGCCATGCCGGGGAGGGCTCCGGTTCCCACATTCCCCCTTCTTGGCGTTTATGCTGCTCTGTTCTCCGAGCGGATGTAACGCAGGCTGGCACACTCCCCAGAGTTCTCCGCCAGCTGCCCTCCTCTGCTGGCAGTTTTCTGCTCTGTTCTTGCGGAAACCAAGCACACTGGCGTTTATAGGAGGCAAGGGATCCCGAGGACGGGGATGCTGGTCCCCCAAAGCGTCTAGTTTGGGAAGTGCAATTAATTACGCGGCCGTGAAACCGCTTTGGTGCCGTAGCTGAAGCCCGCACGGCCCGTTTTCGGTGCTGCTGGGGCAGCCGGGCCGACTGCGTCGGACCCACAGTGGGTTCCGCTCCCCGGCCCCCGGTTTCCGTCAGCACAGCCACTGCCCCGGGGGGGAGGGGATTTGGCTGGGCCCCCACCGCACCCCCACCCGCCTGAGAGGATCCTGTGCAGCGCAGCTGGTCCCCCACGCCTTTCCGAAGGACCCGCCTGTCCCCTCACAGGCAGCGGCAGGGGGGCCGGGGGTGGGGGGGGTGGGCCACGCAGCGCCAGTCGGCTGCTGCTTCCAGGCCTCCTCGCGTGCTTCACGGATCTCGGGGTCACGCCGACCTTAAAGCCCTCGGTGCTCATGGTGGGTTTTGTTTTTTTAAAGAGACCCTTTAGTTCTTAAAAATCCCACCTACGTGCGGTAATGTCATGGGGTCTCTCCCCGCTCCCGGCCGTCTCGCTGGTGTGACAGTCGGGCCGGAGCAGAGCTGGAAGGCGGGGCTGGCAGTTGCGCCCGCCCTCGCTGTTTCTCGTTAGCGGCGGGGGCGTTGCCCCAGGAAAGTGTTGCTGTTTCATTGTAACTGTTGCCGGCAACGCGTCACCCGATGCATCCCAAGCTTTGCTCAGACGGCAGCAGGGGTCAGGGGTTGCGGCCCCACCAGGAACGGGCAAACGACGGGCCGGGACGTGTCACGCAGCCCGGTGCACCTGCTCTGAGGACGGGGACCGAGGGCCGGTGTTTCCGGGAGGCCCCACTCAGCTGCTCGCGCCTGTGGGGTGGGGGCCGTGGGGCAGCCTAAGGGGCACCCGGCGACCGGGGCGTCTTCTCGGTCACTTACACCGAGGGCCACCTCAAGATCACACCTCACGCCTCGTGGGCGGATGCGGATAAGTTGCTGCCCCACAGGGAGAAAAGCCAGAGGGAGGGAGGCAGGGGGAGGGCAAGGACGCTCTGCTCCGACGACGTCACTTCCCCCAGACTTCCACGTCTCCTGCCCCTGCTGGACGCAGTGTCCACGACTCGATTTCTGAGGCAGCAACTGCTTTTCCAGGTGGAGGTGAAGGAAGGAGGGGGCGCCAGTGAGATCCCGGAGGAGGCTGCCCTGCAGAACCCCCTGTGCCCGGAGGCCTGCGTGTTCCCGTCGTCCCAGGAGGCGGAGGGCGCCTCGGCCGCGTCCCACCAGGACACCGGCCCCGTGGTAATGATGCCGAGGAGAGCGTGGCCCTTCGGGCGGCCCGTGCGGCCCCCAGCACGTGGGGCGCGGCCGCCGGCAGTGCGGGGGGGGCGGGTCTCAGTCGCTGGTTCCTGTCCTGCCGACACAGCATTTCTGGTCTCTCATCTACCCGGAGGGGCAGAAGGCTCTGCTGTCCCTGAGGCCCCTTTCACCTCGGAGAGCCTCATTTCTGCCGGTCCTAGCAAGTCGAGTGCAGATGGGGACGGGCTGTAATTTTAAGGCCGGCAACCACCAGTCCCATCCATCAGTGTGGGCCCAGGGACCGGCACCCACTCAGCGGCCAGGTTGGCGTGTTGGTAGGGGGGTGGGGCAGGGCTGCGGGGCACGGCCGCTTCCCTCCCTCCCCGCCCCCAAGTCCCCCAACAGTGTGGACTGACACCTCCGTAGGACGGCCGGTGGGGACAGCTGTGGTTTGTGTGCTGCTCCCCTTTAACCCTCAGGAGTCACCAGGCCTGTAGGCCAGGCGTTACCTTCCTCTCCACTCACAGATGAGCACGCAGAGGTGTCGCTCTGCCGGCTTGCACTGGGAGGGGGCCTCTAGGCCTCCAGGACTAGGGGTGAGGATGGGCCAGGAGGGAGCCAGGGGGCCCGCCCCCAGCTTCCGGTGAGCAAAGAGCCGGACCCCCAGGACGGCCTGTGCCCCCAGCAGCACCTCGCCCTGAGAAAGAGGCCATGGCCCTGAGGGGCGTGCCTCACCGGGGACGCTGGAGGAAGAGCTCAGCGGGGCCCAGCCTGGCCGCGGCACCTCCGGCACTTGCCGCTCTGCCTGTGGTCTGGGCAGGCCCGCGGGCCAGCGAGCCCGATGGGCTCTCCTCCAGGGACCGTGGGGGCGGGGCGGAGCCCCAACTGCGCATGGGCAGGGGCCTGAGGGTCCCGTCCCCCCCCAGCCTGTCTCCCGGTGTCGTGTGTGTGTGGGCGCGAGCGTGTGCATGGCTGAAACTCAGCTCTCCAGAGACGAGTGGGACGGCCGTGCCCAGGTCTGCTGCCGGCGGGGTCGGCGCCTCACTAACGCAGGCTCTGCACGTGTGGCTTCGGCGGCGGCGGCGTTGGTTCTCGAGGTCCTCGCGCTCCCTGGGGTTTTCCCACCAAGGGAGCCCGAGGGCAGCCCCACGGCAGCTCCACAGCCCCTGCCGTCAGGCTGGGCGCTGTGTGGGGGCAGAAGCCGCCGCCCTCTGGCCTCGGGGACAGGACTGCACGCAGGGAGGGCTCCAGCTGGCCTGGGCCCCACCGATGTGACCGGCTCACGGGCTCGCTGGGCTCATGGAGGAGGACGTGTTCACAGGCGGGGCCTGAGAGTGCGGGTCGGGCCCAGGAGTCTTGACCGGGCTTCTTAGACCTTTCCCGTCCTCGAATTAACCTCTCCAGGTTGTTCTTGTAGACAGTAAAATTAACACACATTTAAAAACCCCACGTGTTATCTGATAGCGTGTGCATCATTTAGCGGGTGCTCGTCTCTCGGAACAGTTCCCTCCCGAGAGCGTGTCGTCGTGGAGTGACAGGTGGACCGCAGACCTGCCGCCTGCCGTTTTCCACGGAAGCTCAAGTCCTGGGTTAACCCTGTGCTCTCAGACTGCGGCGGTGTACGTGGGCTCACGTGACCGGCCAGCGTCCCACACGGCGCCCCGCCCACCGCCTCTCGTTCCAGGTGCTGTGCCAGCTGCGGGGCGGCGCGCCAGTGCTGCGCGTGGATGGCTCCGGCGCGGCGGGGCTGCAGGCCCTCCACTGGGCCCCACGTGGGCAGGACCCGGGCGAGTCTCCGCAGGCAGGTACGGAGCCGGCTGAGAACATGGCCTGCGTGTCGGCCGGGGACTGTGCTGTGGCCGTGCACGGAAAACAGAAGTGAAACGGGTCGTTAGGATTCCGTAGCAGTGAGCCAGGAACCGAAAAGTGTCTTTATGGGCTAATGTCTGTGCACGGCATCGGCTGCCTCAACTTCTCGGGTCGCTGTCCTCTGCCGCACCGAAGCGCCGGCCTTCCCCAGGTCGGGTGGGAGGCCGGCTGCGAGGCCGGCTGCTCAGGCGTGCTGTGGACTGACGTTCAGTGTGAACATCTTTGTGGAATCACCTCGAGCTGACAGAGCTGTAGCAAGTGCTGATTGGGGGACGCTCGTTTACTCAGAAACGTCTTCAAGCCGGCACAAGAGTAACAAACGGCACATACGTACCCTGTGGGCTCTCCTGAAAGGCCTCGTGAGTGGTTGAAGATTCAAAGGGTTCTTTTCACAGAAGTTAGACATGAGTTCTCTAAAACCAGGCATTACTGTCTACATTTCTATGTAACTGAGTCCTTCTAAATCTTAGGTTAACCGGGATGATTTTCTCATTAAACGTTAAGGAAATTTCCTTATCAGATGATTCGCTGACCTGCCCCAAACTTAAATCAACACTAAACCCAAATGTCATGTCAAGGGACCTTTGGAGTCCGGGGTGCAGAGGAGGAGTGTGGCTCCTGGTCCCCCCCCCCCCCCCCGTGGTGCCTTCACCCCGGGACAGCGAGACGCCCTCCAGGCACGGCCTTTCCCCACCGTGCAGGAGCGGGGCGGGGCCTCGGGGCTCTGCTCTGGGCTCCGGTGGGTGGGAGCCGCCCCGTCCTCCACACAGACGGGCAGAGAGGGGCTCCTTCCTAATGCCCTTCCTTCCGGCGCCCGGCAGGTCCTGACGCCTGCAGACTGCGGAAGGAGAGGGTCTGAGTGGTGCTCACCAGACCTGCTTCCTTGTCGTCCGACCACGACTGCCCTGCCCAGTCCCCTGTGCGGTGCTGCAAACGTCACCCTAGAGTGACCGCACCCCGACCGAGGTCTCAAGGTGGCAGCACTCAGAGGCCGCACGAGCCCCAGCTCTGCTGGCGGGCGGTTCAGGGGACCGAGCCCAGCTCTCCCTCTACGGGGGCCCCCAGACACCGAGGTCGCAGGCCGCTCATGCCTCAGGGGTGTTCTTCGCTGCGCCCTCAGGCCAGAGAAACACCTATTGGTCAGCTCCAGTCCTTACAAAGTTAGGTCCAAATAACCTAATAAACATTTACATCCTGACACCTTAGGGCTGGAAAAAGAACACACATAAACTGGAAGTAGTTCACCTGGTGACCAACAGATGTCGCTGTGCTTTCTTGGAAATAAAAGCTCTGGGCTTCCGGCAGCGTTTGCAGGGCAGGTGCAGTGGGTGGGGCTCCCACCAGCATGGGTGGGGTGGGGGGACCCGCACAGCCTGGCCCCGACACTCAAGCTCAGTGGCTTCATGGCAAAGAAAAAGCGTGTGAGGGGTAAAAAAATCATTGACCTGGAAGCTTTTTATAGAAAAAAAGCATAAATAGGATGAAGATAGTTTAAATGACTGCACCTGATAATCCGTGGCTCATTTTCAGTTCTGTGCTTCCTTCCGTGTGCGAGCGGCGGGAAGACAGTGCGTGGCCTCAGCCGGTTCTCACTGTCCTCCTTGCAGACGGCCCCAGGCCAGTGACCGCCCTGGTAGGACGCCTCTTGCCCGTGCCAGCAAAACTGAACCTCATCACACAAGTGAGTCGTCGTCTTAATTTTTAAAAACACAGTCGGGCATTATCGTCTCTTGAAGTGTCGATTGTCAAAGCTGGCACTTCTCGGGCAATATAACCCGTCCTCCACTGAAAGACCGACAGGGAACCGCCGGCCAGCCTCTCCCCGCTGCACCAGACGCAGGGAGGGGCGGCCCAAGTCCAGGGCATGGCCCTCTGACCCCTTTGTGACACGGTCTTGGCCTCCCCTCGGCCTGCAGGCCACTGTTCTGCCCCTGTGGTCCTGCCACCAGCACCCCCCTCCAGTGTCAGGGAAACGCTTTGTTGAGATTTGACGTGCGTTCGTGATCAGCCCATACTGTGCATGTAGCCGGTACAACTGTAAGACAGATGTGCGCTTTTCCCTAAGTCCGGCTGCAAAACGTCACCGCCCCAGAAGTGCCTCCCGTGACTCCCGGCCCACGCAGCCAGCCACTGTCGCCGCCCCGTGGTTTCGGGGCGTGCATGTCCACAGGGAGTGCGAGTGCTGTGGGGATCTCGTGAGTGTGTGTGTGTGTGTGTGTGTGTCTGGGCTGCACACCAGGACAAGCCCGGCACACACAGGGCATCACCCCTCCCACCGGCGGGTGCAGGGCTGAGCGCTGAGGTCGCCTCAGCCAGCAAACAGGAAGTGAACCCCCAAAACAAAATGAAACACACGACTCTGCCCTCCTGCGGCAGCAGCTGCACGCTGGGACCGCGGAGGGCGGCCATCAGGGGTGGGGCTGCTGGGAGGAAGGCGAAGGCAGGCTCCGAGTCTGCACAGGGCGTGCTGGCCGGCTCCGTCCAGAAGGGGGCCCTGAGCACAGTCTCACAGCCAGGGGGCCTGAGCCCTGGGGGTTCCCAGCAAGGACCAGCGCAGCACAGACAGGGTCCCGCCTGCTGTGGAGACAGCCAGGGGGAGCCGCTGGGGCCGGGTGCAGGAGCAGGAGGGGGTGGAGGACTGTGCCCCCAGGGGGCTGGCGCAGAGGAGGGCGGGGGGGCGCAGGGACCCAGCTGTCCTCTGATCTCCGTGGTCTCAGTGAGGACGGTGGCTCAGCCCACGGTGGCAGTGCGGGGGGGCGGTCTGTGTCGTGCACGGGCTGGGTGTGGGACCTGGGGGGGGGGGGTCGGGATGCTGACTTTCAGCCTGAACCGGCGCCGAGGCGGGTGCCCGTGAAGATAGCCAAGAGCCTGCGGGTTTGTGGGGATACGGGGTCCCGTGTGGAATACCCAGGCCTGCGCTGGGGCCTGCGCTGGGGCCTGCTGGGGGCTGGTGCGGTCCTCCCGGGGCAAGTCCCGCACGAGGCCGTGAAGGGATTGTGATGGAAAGCTCTGGAAGAAAAGGGGCCGTTTTCCTCGGGATGGAGGGCCTGACTGGGTGGGACTGGTAACGCACACGGCCGACTCAGAACACGCGTGCCTTCACTCCTGCAGCTCGGTGAGGCCGCCTCCGCGTCCGCAGCCAACGGGTCCGCCTTCCCCGCGGGACCAGCGCTCGGGGCGCCGCCCAAACCAGCTGTGGCCGGGTAAGGACGGCAGCGGCCGGCTCTCGCTTCCGGGCTTTGCGAGGCCTTGCGGGCACATCTGTGACCGTCCTCAAAACCAGCTGCGTGCCCCACCCCCGCCCCCGCTCGTCCCTCTTCCCCACAGAGTGACAGGGTGCAGCCCGACAGAGCCTAGACCAGGTGCGGCCTCCAGGCCCCTAGGTCCGTCCCGGTCAAGGCCTGGCCAAGGGGCGAACCCCTGGCCCCCCACGGCCTGGTGTCGGGCGGGCGGGTGGGGACAGTTGATGGGAAGATGGCTCTTTACCACCTGATGCCTCCGCCCCAGCCCGCTGCTGTGCTCCCGGACAGTGCGGGGTGGGGGTGGGGGAGTGGGGGTGGGGGGAGGCCCGGGCCCCCCACAGACGGACACTGCCAGGAGGCTGTTTGGCTCTGCAAACTCCCGCGGGAGGAGCCGATGCTTTGAGGGGTCTCCCTCCCTTCTGGGCGAGTCCCTGGGGAGCGCGGTGCGGGCCGGCTGGTCGGCCCGGGCGTCACAGACGAGTCGTGTGGGCCACACGTGCTCTGGGCGACAGGCTTGTGCCGCCTGCCCCCGCCGCCGGCACGCCGGGCTGCTGTCTCCGCAGGTGCTGCGACTGCCTTGCCGCCGGGGACTGCGGCGGCCGCTGTGGCGGCTGCAACTGCCGCAGCAGTTTGTGTCACGGGATCGAGCGGCTGAAGGCCATCAAGGTAAAGAACGTCCCACTGAACACAGGCGTCTAGAAGGGTTGAAAAGTGCTTGAGATGCTTACAAAAACCGTCTCCGGAGAGTCTTCCCTTCGGTACAGGGGAAGCCCTGGGGCTGGTTCCACACGGAGTGGGGCCCCGCTCCCGAACGGGGCCCCCCCGAGCCCTCCCTCCTCCGACGGGGGCGGTTGCGGCCCCGAGGGGCCTGGTGTGAGAACGCGCGGCCGCCCCGTGTCGGGGTCTGAGAGACGTGGGCCGGGTGTGCGGCGGAGGCCCACGCTGGGGGGCACGGTCCACTGAGCAGAGAGGAGGCGGGGCGGGGCGGGGGCCTCTCAGCCGTTCGTACGTCTGATTTGTGGTCCTGGGCACCCGGTGACAGGAGACTGTTGGCTTCCCTCCCGGGCTGCCAGCCCCGTGGGCCCCGTGCGGAGCCCACAGTGCCCGCCCCTCTCTGCGCCCCAGAGCAGCAGGACCCGGCCGGGTGCGCCCCAGCTCCGGGGGGGGGGGGCGGCGGAGGGCCCCCAGGCCGCCTGTGCGCCGGAGACTGTCCCACTGCGTGCGCCCTGGCCGGTCTGTTCGTCTTTCCTGAAACACTTAGCCTGGCTCCTGAAGGATGGACCCGTCAGCTGAAAGTAACCCATAGCTCTGGTCCAGCCGGACCCCCGGGGCAGAAGATGACAGACACGTGGCCTGGGCCCCCTCGCATGTTCCGTGGGGGCGCAGGCCCTGCCGGCCCCTCGGAGTGAAAAGCTCGGCTGGAAAACGTGGCGCCCGTGCACTGGGGGGGGACACGGATCGGTGCGTCCGCTTTGGGAGATTGCGTGGCGACAGCGGCTGGAGCCGCACCTTCGTCTGCACTGTGACCAGCGATTCTGTCCCTGAAAACACAGCTCGTGCGTGGGAAGGGGTGTTCGTGCCCACCAGAGACCGGCCGAGAGTGTCCTCGCCGGCTCCACTGACCGCAGCCCCACCCCCGAGTGCCTGTCCGTGGTTGAGGGGTCCGTGCGCTGAGGGGCGGCCACGGGGCAACACCGCACGGCAGTGCGGCAGGAAGGACCAGAGCCGCGGGCGCCGCGCTGAGGGAGGAGCTGGACGGAAGGGGGCACGCCGGGCCGCCCACCGACGTGGCGTCGGACTGGCGGTTCCCACCGGGGGCGTGTTGGCCGGGAGGGAGCCTCTGCGGGCTGCCGGGTCCTCCAGCTTGACCTGGGGGGCTTCCTGGGGCACTCCTGGCTCGAACTCACCGTGCCCCACCCGCAGGCCTGCACCATGGACCCCCTCCCGGCAGGCCTGCGCTGCGACTGGCGACCCCCTCCATTACTAGAAACGCATGCGCAGCATGTGTGTGGGTAGAGGGGAGGTAAGCGGGTGGGCCGTGTAAATGAGCCGGCCAGGAGCGGCTGTGCTGCACAAAGAGACAGCGCAGCGGGGAGACCTGGGCTCGGTAGGCCGTGGGATCGGGGTCCGTCGCCCGCCACCTGCTGCTCGGCCTCGGGTGCCCCAGTCTGCGCGGGGGCGCCCTGGGCTGCCCTGCGGGCGACACGCACACGGACCCCGTGGAAGACGCTGGGATGCGGCGCGTGTCGCGTGCACGCGAGCTGCTGGCAGGGCCGAGCCCACGGTCGCAGGAAGAGCGGCGGAAACTCGGGGAGGAGACGCGTCCACGCGGACACCCCGCTCCTCTGGCCCCTTCACCGCCCGCTCACCTCCCACCACGGACGCGAGCAACTCCCAAACGCAGGGGAAGCCAGAGCCTGGCGGCGTGGCGGCCTTCGGGAGGGGACGAGCAGGGCCACGCGGCTCCTGTCACGGGGGAGGAGCCGCTTCCGTGGGACCGGGGGGGGGGGGGGGAGCGGCGGCCGCAGGGAAGTCTGACGGGAGCAAAGAGCGGGTTTGCAGGACGACACCCAGCCCCTGAGCCACCAGGCCGGGGCGGACTCATTTCTGTAACGGAGATTACGTGCCTCAGAGATCAAGCAGACGGGCCCAGGCGGCCCGTGGGAGCCTGCCCCGTGGCCCCGCCCCGTGGCTGCAGCTCTGGCCCTGGGAGCCACACGCGATGGCCGCAGACCGGTGTCTCCAGCGGTGGGCCTCCCCCTCCCTGAGCAGAGTGGGGGGGCATGTGCCCAGGCGGACGCCGGGCGGGTGCTCGGAGTGGGTGGGCGGCCCGGCTCGCGGCCCCCGGCCCCTCAGAGGTGAGGATGGGCGGGGCCTTCCGGGGGGGCAGACCGGCTCCTGGACGGCCGCGAGCTTTTCCCTGGAGACCGCGTGGCCGTGGGGGGCTTGCTTTCCCTTCAGCGTCTCCCCTCCCTTGTCTGCCTCTGTTCTTCGTGTTGAAGGAAGAGGAAGAGGCAGGACCCTCGGGCCTGCTTGTGCTGGGCAGAGAAGCCACCTGCAGGGGCTGCGTCGGCCTCTCAGCAGGGAAGCTGTGGGTCTCCCTCTAGAAGGGGGTCGTGGACGGTCAGGCTTCGGACGGGGCCCCCCAGCTCTGGAGCCTGCACCCAGAGATCTGCACAAGCAGGTCCCACCATGCCCTGGCTCGGACTTGGAAAGCGCAGTCGAGACCTTGGCAGAGACAGGACGCCGAGAGGTGTGAGTGACCTGCAGCCCCTGGCAACAGAGCAACCAGAACTCCCAGAGGAACCTTCCACTCAGAACACCGGGGGCCCCCCCCGCTGAGATGCGGGGCTGAGCAGGGGGCGCCAGGGCAGGAACGGCGAGGCCACGGGAGCCCCCGGGGCCGGCGTGGGCGAAGGCTTGGACCCAGGCTTGTGGGGCTCAGCCGGGAGCCGCCCCCACCCCACCCGTGGGTTCCTGTTCTGGGGCCGCACAGCCCCCGCAGCAGGGGAGGAGGCGAGCCCTGGCTGGGACGGCGCGCCAGCTGCCGCACGCGTACCCCCTTCGAACCCCGTTCTGGGGGGGGGGCGCTTCCCCCGAGTGCCCAGTGGAGGCAGAGAGCACCCCGGGGACTCCCACCCACGTCGCCCAGGCTTCCAAAGCCCTTCCCCACCCCCTCGTCAGCACGCCAGTGCGTCCCCACAACGGTGCCGCGTGGGGACGTGGGGACATGCTCTTCGCCCTCCTCACATGAGGGCCTTTTTTGGTGTGAAGACTGCACCCGTGTAAATACAAACGGTTACTTTAGCCCAGATAGAACTGGTTCACTGTTCGAGGACCAGCAGGGCGGCCTCGCTTCACGGAAGCATTTTTCTGCCCCCAGGCCGCAGTGACGTGCTCTTCGGTCTGCAAGTGCGCCGGCTGCGAGAGCTGCCCGGGAAGCCCAGAGCGGAGAGCACCGGCGGCCGCGCCTGCCTGCGCGGGGACCGGAGGCGCTGAGGGCGGCCGGCCGCCGTGCAGAGTGGAGAGGTGGGCACCCTGAGCGGCCCTCCTCTCGGGGAGGCGGGGCTGCCTTGGGAGGAGAGTCCGTCTGTGCGGGTGGGGTGGGGGTGGGGGAGTGTGTGGGGCCACTCCAGGGAGGGGGGCAGGGCCCCGGGACCCCCACCAGACCAACACTGACCACCCGGCAGCTCCCTGGGAGGCCCTGCTGCCCTGTCCTGCTTGTCCTCTCAGCGGGGGCCCTGCAGGGCCCCCCAGCAGGCCCCGGGCCTCAGGCGGCGAGGGTGTGGCGTCCAGACAGCAGACCCCGGCCACCCCTCACCGCCTGCAGCCACGGCTCAGAGCCGCAGGGACACAGGCTGCGGGCACCCCCACTGTCTTCGTCAGCAGCCATGTGGTGGTCCTCACGGCCTCAAGGGCTGGCCAGGGGTCTTACCGTGTTGGACCAGATCGTCCACTTTAAAGAATGGCTCTGCACGCAGATGCCATTGATTCACGTTGTCGAAGAGCCAAGTTCAGGGTCGGTTAGAGAGAGAGACGCCCGCAGCACGCACCGCCACAGCCTGCAGGGCCTTTGTCTGTGAACGGTGGCCAAAACGTGGCTGCATGTCCCGTGAGGTGGCGGGTGGCAATGTCGCCGCCTCCCATGGGCCTCTCCACTGGGGGTGCCCCGTTCTCCCACCCTCGGCACACGCCCATGCGTGGTGTCGGGATGGGCTGGACGGGGAGACCCGAGCCAGTCCCAGCGACCAACTGTCTGTTGCCGCAGCCCGGCTCTGCCCAGCCCCCTGTGGCGTTCTCCCAGAGCACTTCAGTGCTCGCACAGCTGGAGGGGGCGGGGGCGTCGCTGGCCCTGTGGGATCAACCACAGCTGCCTGTGGGCCCCTGTGCAGGGCTCCTCGGGGCCCTCGGAGGCTGGTGTGTCCCCAGGAGCGGCAGACGAGGGTGTTCTTGGGGCTCCTGCGGCTCCTGGGCCCCCACCGGGGGGTGGGGGGAGGCCGACACTCAGCCTGGCCGTGCAGACCCTGAGCCAGCTGGGGCCCGGGGTGCATCTGTGGGGCTCCTCCTGCCCAGCCCGGGGCCAGGGCCGGGGCCTCAGGGTTTGTGGGCGGATCTATCACGAGAAGGATGTCAAGAAGCTGACAGATTTCCCTTCCTCTATGTTTTTCCTCTAAAATTAATACTTGATGTTATTCCCATGAATAGCTTCCAGTATTAGGGAGGCACCATTCGACTTTCACCAGTGCCATGCTTTAAAGTGCCGAGACAGGCCTGTCCCCTCGCACGTAGGTGGTGTCTAAATGCGGCGGAGCCCCTGCCGCTGGGCTCACAGGCGCGTCCCCGCAGGCGGTCCTCGTGCATCTCCTGGGAGGTGGTGGAGGCGACCTGCGCCTGCCTGCTGGCCCAGGGCGAGGAGGCCGAGCGGGCGCAGCGCCCGGAGGGCCTGGCCCAGCAGATGATCCTGGAGGAGTTCGGGAGGTGCCTGTCGCAGATCCTCCACACTGAGTTCAAGTCCAAAGGGCTGACCATGGAGTAGAGCAGAACCCGGTGGGACGCGGTGCCGGCAGGAGGCGCGTCGAGGACGGAGGCGGTTTTCAGGACGGGAGGCCAGGTCTGGGGGAGTGGCCACACCAGTGAGGTCAGGCCCCCCCTGCGCACCGGGGGCACGAGCACTCGGTCTCCGAGGGGCCGGCCCCCGAAGCCCCTGCGTGAGGGCAGGCACGACCCGGCCGCTGTTGTGGGGCCACGGCGGGGAGCGTGGGCCCGTGGGCTGGGCGACGTGTCTGCACCGACCCTGGAGGCTGGCGGACGGGCCCAGGGCCCAGGGGGCGGGGGCGAGCCTGGCCCTACTGACCACGTCCCCCTCGGGAGTTTTCCTCTGGACGTGTCTCTGCGTGAAAAGCCATATGATTTCCCCCGAGTTATTTAGAATCCAAGTCCCCCGATGGGCCGCTGAGACACAGCTTGAAATCCCCAGGGAAGGACTGCACACCCCCAGGATCTGCGTGCAGACAGGTCCCCGGGGAGGCAGGGACCCTCGTGCACGGCCGCCCCGGCAGTGTCTGGGGTGTGGGGCTGGAAATCACCCGGTTCCCCAGGGGTTTCTGTTCGTAGTGCGCAGACGTGCCAGCGCCCACCCGAACGCCCCGTAATGACCGTTGTAACAGTGTTGTAGTTGGCGGGTGTGGTTAAAGTAACTAGTTTTCGAAGCCAGCAGGTAAGATTGGCTGGTGGGGTGACCCTTTCGGTTCTGTTGTAAAGCGAAGAGGAATAAAAATTTCAAATGTCTCGTTGTCGTGATTCCCGTAGTAACGGACTAGCGCTGGCCCCTCAGACGATGCCAGGACGCCCCTTCCACCCACAGTGGGACGGAGCGGTGGCGGCCGCCCAGGGGTGAGAGGGAGCCGCACTGGGAACAGCTGAGTCCCGGCACCTGATTCTTCTCTGTTGGGCCCCTCTCCTGTCCCAACACGGACTCTGAGGCCAAAGCCAGGGTGGAGGCGGCAGTGTGAGAAGGTGGGCTCTTGGGGGCGGGGCCTGTGGCTCTGGGAGCCCCTCCTCCCACAGCAGCGGGTACAGAGTAGGGCAGGCTGCTGCCCTGGCCACCTACCCCCTCACCCTTGGGGCCGGAAGGGGACGGGGAATGGGGGCTTCGTGCCCCTCCCCGGGGGCTTCCCCACAGTGCTGCTAACGGCCATATCTGCTGGCCACACAGGACATTAAAAATGTCTAGTTAACTTATTTTATGTGTTATTTTTATCCTCCCCCGAGAACACGCTCACTGACTCGAGAGAGGGGGGGCAGGGAGGGAGGGAGGGAGGGAGAAACACCCATGTGGGGGGAACCATCCGTCAGTCGCCTCTCCCACACGCCTGCCCCCACGGGGGACCAAACCCCGTAATTCAGGCACGTGCCCTGCCTAGGAATTGAACCCGAAATATTTTGGTTTCGGGATCGACACTCCAACCGGCTGAGCCAGGGTCAGGTGACACACTGTGTACAGTGAGCAGAGGGACAAGGCTGGAGGGAGCCCCCGGGAGGCTGCGGGTCTGGGCGAGACCGGGCGCAGGAGGTGTGGCCCGGCCCGAGTGCGGATTCTGCACCACACAGCCCGCCGGCTCAGGAAAGGGCAGGGGGGGGGAGCTCGCCCGGAGCGCCCGTGGGAGGAGGGAATGCTGCCTGGTGTCAGGGACCAGGGGCAGGGGGTCGAGGGCTCAGGCCCCCACCCCGTGCCCACGTCCTCCAGGAGCAGAGCAGACTCGGACACCGCCCTCACGCCGGCGGCACACCGGAGTCGCCGGGGGCGCGCTGGAGGCCTGGTCCGCAGACGCCCAGCGCCGCAGTCTGCGGGCCGCCCGGCGCAAGGACACTCGCGTGAGCCCGCCCCACCGCAGCCCTGCTCCCAACCCAGGGAGCCCGCGTCGTCACGTGACCCGGCAGAGGGCCTGCGGCTCGGACCGTGGGCCGGGTCTGGGGTGTGACTGTCGTCCTGCGCAGGAGACGCGCCAGTCGCTGCCCGCAGTGGAGGCGTCCCCACGTGCTAGCTTCCCGCGCCCCGGAGTGGCGCGCGTCTCCCGTCTAGGGAACAGCTCAGGTCTTCGGGACACACGCCGTCCCACCTGGGCCCCGCGGACGCCCACTCCCGGCCTCCGCCCTGCCGGCTCCCTCTTTTCTGCTCCTCACCTGCCCCCCTCACGACGCCGACCGACCCCTCCTCCGCCGCGCTGCGGCGCGCCCTCTCCCTGGAGCCTCAGCTCCCGGGCGGGCGCGGGGTGCAGCCGGCCCTGCGCTTCCGCCCCAGGGAGCGGCTCACCTGCACGGCTCTGTGTGTGACGCCTGCGCGGGGAGAGGGCCCCACGCTCCCGGACCCGCGGAGACGAGAGCGGGGGTGTCGGGGAGGCTCTCGGTGGCGGGGTCTGTTCTTGAGACTCCGATCGAACACACGTGGTCGCAGTTGGGCTCGTCCGTGAAAGCGCGGGGGCGGGGCGGGGGCGGGGCCAGACAGGCGCGGGGAAGAAGAGACAGCGAGAGCACTTGCTGGTTTTTATTTTGCTGCTCAAAGTAATTAGCAAAGGGAGCGTCGAGACGGTGACCACACAGCGCCGGAGCAGGCAGCACGGACGTCCCCCCGCGCCAGCGGGCCAGCGGGCCCGGCCCCTAAAGTCCGACCTCACTGGACTTGATGAGCTTGCCCGGCGACCGCGGGACTGCCGGCTCCGTGTCTTCCGAGGACTCGGCCGCTGGGAGGGCGGGCACCGCGTCCCCGGCCTCTGCAAAGGGAGGAGGGACGGGACACCCCCGGTGAGGAGCCCCCTGCGGCCGCCCAGAGGACAGCCGGATGTCACAGGGCTCCTGCGGCTCGGACCCCAGGTCCCGGCCGGTTTTTCCCATTCCCTGCCGCCCGCACCCGCCCACTTAGCCTGCATTCGCAACTCGCAAGAGTTTGAGAGTCACGCTTTGAGGAAGCCTAATTCCTGTCTGAGCAATAAAAACTGGCATCTCCTCATGAAAAAAGTTCCATGTTACAAAACTCAAAACACCAAGCAGAGGAAAACACAGTAAGCCCAGGAAGAGTCGGTGGGCCGCACTGGGAGCCGTGGCGCAGTCTTCCCAGGGGCCCCAGAGGGACGTGGGGACTGGGTCCTGAGAATTCTACGCCCGTCTCCCCAGCCCCCCTCTCCTAAGGAAGAGCAACTGGGCCTTAAGGCCCATCACATGCTCACACCCTCCCCGCCCGCACCCGAGGGGGACGCAGGGCTGCCAGCCACCACAGCGCTCACAGAGCCACCTGCCCCGACTCCCACTCCCACTTTCAACCCAGGCAGTGCGGGCGGGGAGCGAAGGCCTCAAGACAGAACCGAGAGTCAGCCTTGACGCGCACACACTCACCGCGAATTGCGCCCGGTGGGCCCTGACAACCAAATGTCTCTCCCCCCAGAACATCAGGGAGCCCTCTCCCCGTGTCCCCACCCAGCTGGCCGAGCCCTGGGGGGTGGTGTGACCTGAGATGACCTGGCTGAGGCCAGACCCTCACTGCTGCAGGGGCGATAAGCATCAAGCTCAGACAGAAACTCGGGGCGCGAAGGGGCCCACGGGGAGGCCTCGTCGCCCATGGCGTCTGCAGGGTCCAGAGCCGCTCATTTCAAGGCAGCCTGCCCCACATGCAAGGAGGAATCGAACCCTGACATCTGGGCGCCTGTCGGTGTACAGCGCCTGTGGGTACCGCGGCCACACAGCCACGGCGGCTGTGGCCACGTCAGAAATCCCACGGCGTGAGCTGAACCCCGAGGCCCTCTCTTCCTGGTGCCAGGTGGTCGGATGACCCTCCCTGGGGACAGTGGGGGAGCGGCAGCAACCCCAGCCCCGTAGTGCCTGGTCCCAGTTCCCGCGCCCTGTGACGCCGGCCCAGAGGGTGACCTCACGTGTGCGGGGTCAGTGGTCACCGAAGTCAGGGGAACGCTTCCCAGACTGGCTTCATTTTCGGGAGCCCAGGGTCCCCGGAGGGGAATGTAAATCAGTCGTGTTTCACTCACCTTTGAGATGCAAGAACGTCAGGAACTCCATTATGGCGCGCATAGCCTCACCCTCGGGCAGCCGCCTGTCCGAGCTTCCTAAACCTGAAAGGGACGCCTTTCACGACCCCCGCCCCCGCCCCTGGTGCTCTGGGGCTCACGCCAGCACCGTCTACAGCCCCCCCCAGGTCAGGGAGTCCCCCGCGCGGGAAGGCATCTCCATGGTGCCGGGGTCCCTCTCCTGGGGGGACCCGAGTCTAGAAGGACTCTCCGCTGTCCCCGTGCTTCCCGAGACCTCACTCTTGGGTGTTGTAGCCTCTGTCCCTGGCAGCGGGCAGCTGTGGCCGGGCCAGCCTTGGGCCACCGCCCCGTGGGGCCTGGAGGCGACGGACAGAGGAGGGACTCGGTGCCCCGGGGCTGGTGTCCTCTCACCTGACCTTGCGTCGTCCTCGGGCTGGAGCTCCCGCTTGCCAGCGAGGCTGAGCTTGTCATGGAAGGACCTGTGGTTGTCGATGGCATCTGCGCGCAGACCAGAGAGGACAGCCGCTGAAGGCCGTCATGTGCTCACACCCTCCCCGCCCGCACCCGAGGGGGACGCAGGGCTGCCGGCCACCACAGCGCTCACAGAGCCGCCTGCAGAACTGCGGCCACGGCGTGGGGGCCGCAGGAGAGGCAAGGACGTGGCCCAGAACGTGGGGTGGTGCCCGGGAGACTCGGGCCTGGGGCAGCAGGAGCCCCAGGCGGCTCCTGGAGGCACAGGCAGATGATGGGAGCTGGGGCCCTACATCCCCCAAAACAAGGGGCCCCACAGAAGGATTTTAGGTTCTGATATAATCAGGTTGTTACTTTCCAAAGACCACTCTGGCAGCTGGGTGGGACCCGGGGAGACAGAGAGACGGAGACACTGCGCAGGGGAGTGAGGTTGGGGGACGGTGTGTGTGTGTTGGGTGGTGTGACTCTTGAGAGATCCCTAGAGAGACTATGGGGGGAGCCCTGGCCGGGCACTCAGCTGGCTGCGTGTGGACACGTCACGGTTGTGGCTCCCGTCCCAGCCAGGGCACGCGCAAGCATCCGCCCGTGGCAAGTGGAACGACAAATCCATGTTTCTCTCTCCCGTTCTCTCCCTCTCTCTCTCAAATCAATAAATGAATTTTTAAAGAGAAACTATTGGAAGAAAGAATGAGGGCTCTAAACCAACCAAGTGGCCTGCAGTGAGGAGAAGGGGCTAGACCCGGGGCGGCCAGGGGACCAAGGAGGAGAGGGGGGTGAGGGCGGGCGCCTGAGCCTTCCTGTCTGCGCGGCGGACAAAGGAAGATGAGCTACTTCCCCCAGAGGCATCGTGTCCTGGGCCCGGGCACTCGGTCTGGAAGAACGGCTGAGTGAGCCCACCCGTCCGACAGGGAGTGGGGTGTCTGCTGCGAACCGTTCTCCTTGCCACTGTGTCCGTGTGGACCGTAGAGGTCAAGGGCAGACGGTTAAGTTGTACAGACTTTTGGCAAGTAGCTAGTCTAGGGGACAGCTCCTGGCCACCCAGCCCCTGGGCGGGGGAGGGGGCGGTAAACTCAGGGGTGGGGAAGGCTCCGTTCCCTGGCTCAGGAGGCAAAGCCCTCCCAGTGTGTTCAATATTCCAAAGTCACACGAAGAAGCCTTTCGGTTGAAGGGTTCCTGCTGTTGTCTGCGTCAGCGGCACCCAGGGACGAGGTGCTTTCTGAGGGGAGAGAGCTTGGGGCTGCAAAGGGTCCAGGAAAAGCGTGCGCCCCCGGAACCAGTGAAAGACCCTGTGGGACCTGAGACCAAACACACCGCAGGTCCTGCCTGTGACGCATCTAGTGTTCGTCATCTCCGCGCCCTCAAGAGGCCCCCCCGCCCCGCCCCCCGCCCCCCGCCCCGGGAGAGGGCTGACAACCCGCCGCGGCAGGAGAAAGTTCGTGTTTAGACGCGGGATTGGGAGCTAAGAGCTCCCGGAGCAGTTTAAACGCAGAGGCAGCCCTGGGGGATGGGAGCAAAGGCACTGCGGGACCCGTCAGGGTTCAAGGCCGAGCCAGGTGCCTCCAGGCGGGGGGCGGGGCAGATGGGGTCACGGCCAGGAATGCCAGGAATTCCTCCCGGAGCGGGGAAGGAGGGAGCTGAGTACAGGGGGCGAGGAGCACAGCCGGGGAACCGGCTGCAGAACCCGAGGCAGAGGCGGCCGCCTTCCGGAGCGGGGACGGGCGCCCCCTAGGGGCCGGCAGGGGTCATTACCCTACGCGGTTCAACCCGTCCTCAAAGTGCCGAGACCGCCGCGTCTCCCTCGGTCCCACTGACGCAGCGACGGCGCAGGATCGGAGGGACGCCTGGCCGCGCACGTTCCAGCAGGAGCGCAGCGAACACAAATGGGGGCAGCCGGCAGAGCCGGGCCAGTGTCGCGAGGTACCTGGGCGCAGCGTCACTTACGTGGACCAAGAAGGTAGCCGGCGCTGTTCAGGGTCCAGCCCCTCTTTTCCTTCACCTGAAACGGGAGACAGGGGTCCGATGGCGGGGCTGTGTGCCGGGCCCGGGCTGGGGGCGCCCACAGAAGCCCCAGAGGCAGCTTCTGCTCGCACCGCCCAGCAGGGTCCCCGGGGAGTCACCGACCCGCAGCAACCGCGAGACTGGGACCGCAAATGCGCGGGAGTCGTGCCTGCTCGCGGTGAGCTGAGTGGCACGGCGGGGCGCGGGGGGCGGGGGGCGGTGCCTGAGCCCACCGGTTTTCCCGGCAAGAGGCAGGAGTTAGAGCAGCGCGGGCACTTAGGGAAACGGCCAGCATTCCAGGTGCGCCCCCCCAAACGCTCTCTGCGACATGGCACTCGGACTCGTAGCTGCTTTGCCCAGTGACCCACTGACCACAGGCTCCTCGCTCGCGTCAAGTGGTGCCGAGCACGCGCGGCCGGCTCGGGCTCCACGCCGCGGAAGGGACCCTCGGGGAGTGCAGCCTGGCTCGCAGCGGCGCTGTCTGTGCCGGGGGAGGCGCGGCGGGGACCGGAGGAGGGGGCGTCTCCGCCGGGCCTGGATCTCCCGTGCCCCTGCCCCCACAGCCCAACGCCCGAAGCCGGAGTTTCCGCTCCTGGCACGAAGCGCCCACGCGCTGCCCTGTCTGCTGCTAATTTAATCGCCCCCCTTCGCTGAGAAGGGACACGATTCGGGGGGCCAACGTTTGTCCCCGCCCTGCACTTACCGGTGACCCGAGCCCCAGGGTGGCCGAAAGGGCCGCGGCGAGGAGCAGGGAGGCGAGCAGGGGGGCGCCGCTTCTGGCCATCTGCAGGGGAAGACGCGCGGGCACGTCGGGCGGAGCTCCGACCCAGCCCACCCGGGCGGGACCCAGGGCAATGAGGACGGAGCGGTTTGTGACTGCGCCCCCTGCGGCTGGCGCCCGGACAGGGGCAGGGGACGGGGCAGAGGCGCCGCGCTCCCAAGAGCGCCTACCGGCAGGCTGGAAGAAAGGGGGCGCCCCCCGCTGGGCCCCCGAGGGCACCGGGTACCTTGAACGGCGGCGGTCTGGGCTGTGTCTGTATCCTGGCGGCGGGGTGTCGGCGGTCCGGGCGTCGAGTCGTGGGTCAAATAGGGCCGGGCTGGGGGCGCTCACCGCATGGCACGGCCTCGGGCTCCCTCGACGTGTCGGCCCGCAGCCGCTGGGGCTGCTATTTATGCGGCATTAACGGCGCGTTCCCCAGCCCCGCGGCCACGTCATGGGGCTCAGTTCCCGCCTTCCTCACCGCAGCCCGATGGGGGCGGGAGTGCCCGCAATGGCTCTTTAGGGGGGGCTCTAAGCTTCGCGGGAGGGCCTCGCAGTGGTCTGTATTGAGAGGAAGGGTGGCGGGCATGGCGGAGAGACCCCCTGCCCAAGCCCCGCGCGGTAGAGACCCCGTCACTCTAAATGGAGAACCCCTATCAGCCCAGGCAGAAAGCCCCCCAAACCCGCCCTGGAGAGGCCTGGACACCCTGCATCACTGCTGTGGTGGGGAGCCCCCCTCCCATCACCAGGACCCTGGTCCCCGCCGGGACAGAGGCCCCCAGCCCAACGCAGCTCCCCCTGCCAGGAAAGCCACCAGCAGCAGGGCCAGGGACCCTGGAAGGCGGGGCAGGACCACCCCCCAGTCTCGCCAGGCCCAGCGGGACAGCCCGGGCACCCTGTCTGCCTGCTCGCACCTGGCTTTCCCACCTCTAGGTGCCCAGTGGACTTGAGGTGCCCAAACCCCGGTCCTGGTTTGCTAAAAGGGGGCGAACCAGCCACAGCTGCTGGGCTGTGGGCACCGGGAGACTGCCCCCTCCCACAGCCCCTGCACCCCATGGGCACTGCTGGCTCAGAACGGGTGCCTGCCAGTGTTCTCCCTCTGGTGCCCGGGCTCAGGACACAGAGCTGTTTTGAGCAGGGCTGGGTAGTGGTCGAGCCCTGGGGGGCTGGCGGGGGGAGGTGCACAGAGTGGCCAGGGGGTGGGCAGGTGGGCAGGGCAGCAGGAAGAGGCCGTGGCCGGTGGCCCAGGAATCAGGCAGCACTCGGCCCTCCTGGGCTTGCTCCGGGAGTACTTCCTGGGCTTCCCTCGGGGGCCCTGCCCTGCCGGGCACCCGGGCTTCTCGCGAAGGATGAGGCCATCGGGCGGAACGCTGCCTGAGCTCAGCAGGCAGCCGGTTACCGGAAGGCCGCGGCCCACAGGGCGTGCGATTGGCGGGTGTCATCGGGGACCGGGCGCGCACGGGGTCCGGGACCGGTGCTGTGACGCAGCCCTGCGCCTCTCCCACGTTTCACTCTCACGAACCCTCTGTGCCGACAGCTCCAGCCACCCCCAGGGGGAGCCATCGGCCGCCGCGTGGGTAAGGGAGGGCACGGGCGCTCGAGGACTGCGGTCAAGGCCAGCTGGCTGGCTGGGAGGGAGCAGGCCCTGCCCGTGATGCTAGCGGGCAAGGAGGGGTGCTGGCGGGGAGACTGGCTTGGTGGGGGGGTCCCAGGACCAGGGTCCTGGCTGCCACGGGGGTGATGGGGTTGCTCTCAAGGGCACGGTCTGACTTCCAGTCCCTCCCATTTCTGGCAGCTTGAGTTGGGAGGACAGTCAGGGGCGGGGGGCCTGACCGTGACTCACGGACTGGTCTCAGAAGCCCACGGTCCATCCGGGGCACTGCCCCCCACACCCCCCCACCCCGCCGGGAGGGCAGCGGGGGCTGGGAGCAGCGGCACGCCTGCGGTCAGAGCGGCGGAGGGCAGTTTTCTGCGGTTCGTCAGTGATGTGAGGGTGACGCCCTGTCGTGCCCCATGCCCTCGGACGTAGGTGGCCTCGGGGAGTGGGCAGGGGCCAGGCACGGGTGCCTGCGCCCCTGACAAAGGCCACCACCTCTCGAGAACTGCTGGTTGGATGTTGCGGGGCGGGGGGGTCCTGCGGTCACTCCTGAACACTCACTGCTCTTCTGAGAGTGTAACCAGAGAAGACACCGGCGTTGGGCTGACTGTCACTACCAAATCCAATAAGCAATGACAGCGATCGAATCTTTTATGGGCGCTTTATTCAGATGGCCGGTGATCTGAGAAGATGGAGGGTTCATACCCTAACAAACCCCCTTTCTTTCCTGGCCAGATCTTTTATAAGGGGGGTTGGGGGAGACAAAAAAAGAAGTCGGTGAGAGAGAGTCCTTGAAGTTCTTGAAGTTCGCAGCTGCAGCACTTTTATCCACGGCAGTTAGCTGTCTCCAAGTGGGAGGGTAGTCGCCTGCTTCTTCCCTGGACGGATGTCTCCAGGCGGTAACCTCTAGCCGGCACCCCGGGAGGTCAGCCACTCTTTCTCAGGCGCCAGATGGGCCTTATCTGTAGTTTCTGAAACAAAGAGCTTCACATACATATCACTTGCTAGATTTATGGCTATTTACCTTAAGCTAAAATTTTCCACGTTTTCAGTCCCCTGTCAAGAGCACATTTGTCCCGTGCCCGTCAGTCCCCCTCGGCCATTTCTCCTTCCCTTGGGTCCCAGGGTGCGTGCTCCCCGCCATCAGCGAGAGCTGGAGGCCCCCTCTGCTCTCCGTGTCCTTGTCCAGGGGCCGGCTGCTCAGTCTGAAGGAGCAGAATTCTGCACCTGAAAACTTGGGTCTGGAAACGCTTGGGCCCCAGCCTTCAGGCCTCACGGGGGCGAGGCGGCGGCCCCTGCGCACAAGCAGGGCGCTCGGCCCAACCTGGTCAAGTGACGTAGAATTTTTCTCCGAACAGCCCCAGACCTCCTCCCGGAGGCGGAAGGCTCCTGAGTGCGGGGCAGGCACTGCCCGGGAGCCGGCGGGGGCGCTGCACAGATCCGCGGGGCGTGGCCGCAGACTGGAGAAGGAGAGCACGCGGTGACCGGCCCCGGCCTCTGGCCGCTGTTCCCGCGTGTCACAGGGAAAACATCACGGGCACGGTGGGTCCGGTGAACAAAGCCACACTGAATAGTAACACGGCCGAGCTTAAAACCAAGCTGCTTCCTTTCCGTCCACGCGGGCTTTCACTGTGACCCTCTCTGGGGGACACCACAGTCGCCGCCTCTCCCTGCGCCTGGGCTGTGTCGTGACCCTGGCGGGGGAGGGGCGGGGGAGGGGCGGCACGACCCAGCGAGGAGGCGCTGCCGCTCCAGACAAAGGAGGGGGCGGGCGTCTGGCCGGCTTCCGGCACAGGCTGTGGGGGGGGGCCCACGGCCACATCCTAATGGGCTCTGTGCGCTCGGCAATGACCCAGCTGGAGTCATCGTCAGCGTGTCATCTCGAAGACGGCCCGGTGTGTCACAGACAAAATGGGTCGCCATTAGAGTAATGGAGATCAAGCAGAAAGCGTGATTTCCCCAGGTGCGCTGAGGCGGCCCGCCTCCCCCTGGAAGTCCTGTTCACTCCCGTGGAGAAAGCCAGCAGGGGGAGGGGGTGGCGGGGGCTGGGCAGAAAGGGCGAAGGCGCAGAGACCCAGAGAGACGCCGCCTGCTCTGCCCGTGGGGCTGCAGCAGGGAGACCCAGACACGGAAAAGCAACTGTGCAAATAACCTCCTTGTTGTCCCAAGAAGGTCTGTTGATCCAGGGAGCCTGACCTGACAGGTGAACAGAATTGGCCCGATGGGGCCCAGCACTGAGGGCTAGGCGCCCATTCAGGTCCTTTTCCCTGCCTCCTTCCGGCCACCTGGAAGGTGGGTGTGAGGGATGGGGCTGAGCAGCCATTTTGGGCCACAAGGCGATGACGTTGAATGACAGCGAGGCTGAGGGAGGCTGGGTCTCGGGCTGCCCCCTCCGGGTGTTGAAGCCGCTGTTGTGCGGGGTTTTCTATTACGTGCAGTTGGAACGACGCGTGTTTAGGGCGGTGCTTCAGGCAGAGCTGGCCACGCGTGTTCGATGAGTGAATGAGTAAATGAACGTGAATGAATGGAGGGAGGCCCCCTTCCTCCAGTGCTGGTGAGGAGCTCAAAAAGGGGGAGGCTCGGAAGAGCGGATGGTGGATGGGCACCGCCCACCACCTCTCCAATCCCCCCCACGACTGGGGAGGTGGGGAAACGGCCCAATGGTCACAGCGACCCAGAGCCGGCTGGTCTGGGACCCGGTGAGGTCTGCACGTCCTTGAGCCTCCCCTCCCTGACTTCTTCCTGCTGCCCCTGCCCCAACACCACTCCACTGACAGGGGTCGGCAGGAGCATGCCCCGAGCTGCGGCTCAGAAACAGCACCATGAGGGTGTGGCTGCCGTGGGGGCCGCTTTAATGCCCTGTGCGGGTTTTGGAGTGACGGGTTCTTCTGCGCGACTCTGCTGCGGGGTCCACGATCCGTGTGAAGACGTGCTCACCCTGCCCACCCAAAGGGTTGGGTGCTTTTACGAGGGTGCAGGCTGAGGAGGGGGCGTGGGGGGGGCCACAGGGGTCAGTGCTTTGGGGACACTTGGTGAGAGAATTCTCTCCTCCCTTTAGGTGGCTTTTGGGGACGCCCCTCCTGCCACTTCTTCAGACATCTTGCTGGGCACAGTCACATCCAGCTGCAGATGGGGCCTTTTTATGGATGCTGAGATCAGGGTTCGGGGTGCCCCTCCCCTGAGATCAGGGTCCCCAAGGCGACCGTCCCCTCGGTTGCCCGGTTTTGCAGAACTTGGAATAAGCCACAGGCGTGCTCAGTCCAGACCCACTGTGTCTCTCCACCCCTGCCTGGCGGCTGGCGGCCCGCTGGACACGGCTGGCGTTTGCAGGCTCCCCCGGGAGAAGCTGCGTGGAGGACCTGGTTCGTCGGTGTTCCGTGGGACCCACACATCTCGAATCCGTGTTCCCTGGGATGCTGTCTGGAGCACCCCCCGCCCACAGCGCCCACCACCCTGGCAACAAGACGGGACTGAATGGGCCGGCAGAGTTGCTGGCCTCTCCCGGGGCGGTGCGTGAACGGGGCCCGGGGGTCTGGGGAGGACGCAGGGGCGGCAGCTGTGCTGGGGGCCACCGGGCCTCTCACTGAGCCCACAACCCCGCACTGACCGCACCCCACGCAGACTCCGTGCGAACCCTCAGGTGAGCAGAGTGGGGGCCTTGTCGTGGACGGTCATTTTACATGTCCCAGGCCCTGGCTGAGGCAACCTGGCCGCCCCCACCCCCAGCCACCAACCTCCCTCTCCCCTAACCCACCCACAGCACCCTCTTCCCCCTGCTCCCCA